AAGGGCAAGAAGCTGAATATTGGTGGTGGTGGCTTGGGGTACCGTGAACGCCCCGGGCTGGGCTCAGAAAATACTGTAAGTAGAGATACTGAAGAGGTTGTTCACAGATTCTTGGAACTTTTTCACTTAGTATTGATTACTCTTTAATTTAAAAATTGGTACTGAATTACAGCATCTGCTTTAAAAGTTCTCATAGCTCAGCATCTTTCAGAGTTAGGATCATATATCTCAAGTGAAAGTCTCCTGTTCTGTTCTCTTGTTAAGAGCTGGATTTTTTTAGAGCTAGAGTGATCCAGAAGGTTTGGAGATTCCTCATAAAATAGACTGTCGCTGTAAAATAAATGCTGATAAATTACTTCAAAATTTCCAGCCATTTCCAGTCTGATTCTGGGCAGAAAAATCTCTTGTTAAGAGCTGGGTTTTTTTAGAGCTAGAGTGATCCAGAAGGTTTGGAGATTCCTCATAAAATAGACTGTCGCTGTAAAATAAATGCTGATAAATTACTTCAAAATTTCCAGCCATTTCCAGTCTGATTCTGGGCAGAAAAAAAAAAAAAACAGTGGAGCAAACTGTTCCACTGCTCAGGGCTCTCCAGAAGTCTGTCATCCTTAGTGGATGTATTTCCTGAGTGCAGGGACAGGATAGATGTAAGCAGTGGTTGAACTGAGTGTGTCTGTGTGGGATAAACCTCTGCAGTTGCCCTTTGTGTTTTTGCACAGGACCGTGGAAACAACAACAGTGTGATGAGCAACTATGAGGCCTACAAGCCATCCACGGGGGCCATGGGGGACAGGCTGACAGCAATGAAAGCAGCTTTCCAGGTTGGTTCCATGCTGGGGCTCCTTTTCTCCCCTGAAATTGCAGCAGCCCTGTTATTTCAGGGAGGTTGAGGGTGCTGGTTGTGGCTGTGTCACTTGGAGCACACACATGGCAGTCCCAAGTGGTGGAATTAGGTGCAGGCTGGACTGAACACATTTGCATAAATTTGCCAAACTTACTTTGTTTTCTGCTGCCTCTTTGCTCCTTTCTCTTTCTGGATTCTGCACCTGGGCTTGATTCTGTGGAGGTTGCTTTGCAGCAGTAGTGTAATTGCAATCAAAAGGGAAAAGAGAAGCTCTTTCTCTTCAGTGTAAAAATTAACCCCACAATGTAAGAATTCCATTATTGGTGTTGTCTGGTAGGAGGTCCCTGTTACTAACTCTGTGTCCATAAGCACAGGAGGAATGTAATCACTCCAAGGCTGACTTTTTCTAGGAATTCTGTTGCCCCAAAATCCAAGGTGGGCTTGTAAACACACGATGACTCCGTGTTCTGTGGGGCAGCACGGAGCCAAACCTGCTGTCTCTTGTCTCTCCCTTTCCTGCAGTCCCAGTACAAGAGTCACTTTGTTGCTGCAAGTTTAAATAACCAAAAGACTGGGAGCTCTGCTGCTGGTGCCAGCGGCTGGACCAGCGCCGGGAGCCTGAACTCCGTCCCGACGAGTTCAGCGCAGCAAAACGCCGCCAATGCCGAGAGCCCCATCGCAGCCACCGCGGCGGCAAAGGGAGTCCCGGGCTTCACCAGCACGGGCAGCTTGAGCAGCGTCCCCTCCTTCCCAAGCCCCGGGGCACAGGGCTTCAACAACGCCAATGCCAGCACCAACAGCCGGGAGGGCGGCGGCATTGTCAGAGAACGGTACAACGACAGCCGGAACAGTCGGCACGGAGAGGCCCCGCGGCGCGCCGAGGGCGGCGGCGGTGGCCGAGGGGAGGGCAGCGGTGGCCGAGGGGAGGGTGGCGGTGGCCGAGGGGAGGGTGGCGGTGGCCGAGGGGAGGGTGGCGGTGGCCGAGGGGAGGGTGGCGGTGGCCGAGGGGAGGGTGGCGGTGGCCGAGGGAGGGCCAACGCTTCACCGAGGGCCAGCGCTACGATGGCCAGCGCTACAACGAGGGCCAACGTTACAACGAGGGCCAGCGCCACAGCGAAGGCGGTGGCCGGCACAGTGACCCCTCCCGGCACGGCGACGGCCGCCACGGCGACGCCCATCGCCACGGCGAGGGCCGGCACTTCACCGACTTGCCAGCCGGCAACCGCAACAACGGTGACAGCAGGAACAGCACCGAGGGGAGGAACAGCGAGAGCAGGAATGGAGAGAACAGGAAGGAGGCCAACAGCCGGGACAACAAGACAGATGGTTTTGCTGTCCCAGAGCCCCCAAAACGGAAGAAGAGCCGGTGGGACAGTTAAAAGCTGGGGGTTCACAGCCTGGAATCTCTGCAGGTAGTGTTGTCGTTTTCCAGAGGATTTCTTGGGGTTTTTGGTAACTGGATGTTGAGCAGCTGGGGCAGGAGAAGGAAACCATGAGAACCCCCATGCAAGTTCATCTGCGGACAGATTCACCCGAACGAAGTGCACACAACACTTAGTGAAAGAAATCATTTTGATAAAGCTCCCTGGGTTCTGCTTTGAAACTTTCAGTGCTCGAGTGACTCTGCTGGATTTAAACAGATCTTCTTGACAAAAAGAAGCTGTTCCACATCCTTGGAACGTTAAGAAACTGTTGTCCATAGAAGTATAAATTAGTCTTTTCTTAACCAGCGTTCACATTTACAAACCAGTCCAGTCCACCTAGAGATGCTCAGGACCTGCCTGTTAGACATTAATCTTGCAGCAGTTTGGTCAGTATGGTGAGTTCTTCCTCCATCTCCTTTCACATATTCTCCCCAAATAATTTGGTCTCCAGGTTACCCTTTACCTCTCTCCCCATCAACTAAGAATGTATCAACTTGCTTTGCTGAAGGTGGGGCAGAGCAAGTTGGTTTCATTTTTTGGTTTTTTTGTTTTTTTGGTTTCTTTTTTTATTTTGGTGTGTGTGGAGCTGTTCAAGGCATCCTTCTCCATCCCAGCAAACCACAAATTCACTTGTGGTGTAGGTTGGACTCCCTGACTTGTTTGTGGTCAGTACTTTAATTCCAATCCCATTGCCCAGATATTTTTTTCTTTTGAATAACCTTCTGTTTTCTAAGATCCTTTATTCTGGTGGAAGCCTGCATAGCAAACCTGTGTCTCTGCTGTGCCTATGCACCCTCTGTTCTGAGAGGGTTGAGTGCTTTCTTCAAATTAAAAACAAAAAAGGGAAGACAATGTAGATAGACCACAACAATCAGAGGCTGGAGCCCCCCAGTAAGTGTGGCTAAAGGAAGAACATTCAGAAATTCAGGGATCTGTTGCTCAAAAGCCTTTAAGGAGAACTCAGAAAACAATTAATGAAAAGAAACAGCTCAAATCTGGCCTTGTTTTGGACACATGTAGTAAATCTGTAAAATCTTACTTGCCCATTTTTAACTCATTGTGTGTATTCCCATTTTTTAACTTCTTTTTTTTTTTTTTTTTTTTGCCACAAGGTAGGGAAGAACTTTTCAGTTGGGACATGTCAGCACCCACCGCTGGCTCGTTTCCACTGGAAGATGTACCAGAAGCTGTCAGGGTTTTGTGACATTGTGATGTTTTCTTTATCAGCTGTGCATTTACTTTCTGCTTGCTCTAGTAAATGTTTTATTACTGGTACAAAACCATGCAGCATGTGCTTTTTATTCTCCTCTTCCTCTGGCTGCCCTGATGTGCAAATGGAGAACTGACAGTCTGGAGATCCGACTGTGTCTGTCTCACCAGAAGTTGTGGATTGTAGTTGATAAAATACTTCCTGTGGCTTTTCTTAGTATCTTTCACCCCAAAATGTTTCACAAACCCCGTTTTAGCTTCAAAGACTCCTGGAAAATCGATTTTCCTCCGCTTTAGAAGAGGGAAGGATGCAGCCCAGGACATGTGATTCATTTCCCCCAGCTTTTCATGGGGTCATGGGCAGACCTGGAAGGAGAGCTCAGCAGCAGCCCCAAGGTCTGACTGACACCTGAGCTGGCTACAGTTCAGACACCACGGGCTTATTTGGGCCCCCTCAGAAACCAGCTCTGATCTGCTGGAGTTTTTTTAACTCTTTTCCAGAATTCCCTCCCCACAGTCTGGGCAGGAGGTTCCAGAATTCCCTCCCCACAGTCTGTTGCCCTGGTTTGAGCTCTGTGCATTTGGTGTGAAGACAAGGGTATTTCAGGGCAGACTGGCAGGGCTTTACAAGCTGTTGTGTTCCCCTTCTCACCCTGAAGGTTCATTGCTGCAATTAAAGATTGGAGTTTCAAAACAAAATGTGAAAATAGCCCCATAGTCTGAGGTGCCATCTGCTCCCTCCCTTGCCCGATCCCAGCTCACTGCCACTGGGAACCAGCCCCATGTGAGGCATATGCTGGGGGTTCTCCCCTTCTGGTTAACACTTCCCTCTGCTCCTTGTAGGATTATTGGAATTCCTCACCCCTCTCCCATCTTCCAGGAGCCTCTTGGGAAGAGAGTGATGAAATATTGATCAGTGACAGGAGCCAGAGATGTCAGCTTGCGGGGCTGTGTGAGGTCCGTGGGAGGGCTGGCTCCATCCCCTGGGAACAAGGGAGCAGTGTGAGCAGCATTCCAACTGCCCTGAGAGGGGATCTGGCCCTGCAGTGGCAGCTGGCCTGGTGTCTTCCAAAGAAACCAGTTTCTTCCACGAGGTGATTTTAAAACTGTGCATCCTAGAGCCCTTCCCTGACGTGGCTCCTGGCTGTTTGTCCCTCCAGTTCCCTATGACTCACTTGGCACCATAGCTTTTCACTGGAAGATATGGGAATGCACACAGTTATTTACCTGGTCCCTGTCTTTAGCAAGAAATTCCTGCCTTGAGGAGCTGTGTAGGAAGAAGATGCTCCGTGCTACCACCACCATGCTGTTTAATTTATCTGCCATCTACACAGCTCCTTGGGAATGCCTTTTCCCTCGGGTGAGGAGCTTTCCCAGGCAGTGCAGGTGCAGGGCAGGGGGATGCTGGGGCTCCTGTCCATGGCAGGGGCAGAGGGAGAGCAGACCTGGCTGGGAACAGGGCCAGGGTTCCAACCTTTGCCCCACTGCTGGCTCCAGGCTGGAATACAAGGATGGAAACAAGCCAGACAGACTCTCTTTATTCACTTCTTAGCCTTCAATGAGATGACAGGGCCACGACACTTGCATGCAGGGGCCTTTGTGGTAATGGATGAAGTGTTGGGGATGCAAGTGTTCCCTGCACCCTTCCAGGCATAAAGTTCATCCTGTCTCCTTCATCCCACCCTGTCCCACTGCCTCCCACTCCAGTTTGTAGTTGTGTGTTGGTGTTCACTCCATCCCCGAGCTGCAGAGGACGAGGAAGGGCAGGGTGGGCTGCAGAACAGCCCCACGGGCACTCTGTGCTCCCCCGGCCGGAGCTGGTGCGGGGTGGGGGAGTCCGAGGCAGGATCGGGCTCATGGGATGGGCTTTGACCGCCCTGGAGAAGTCACCTCCCACTTGTGGGGGCAGGAGCGAGCACGGCGGTGTCTCCTGCTGAAGACTCAAGGCTTTGCAAGCACAGGGATCACGTCAGTCACTTGCACGTGGAGGAGAATGAGGTTTTATGGCTTGTTTTTGGGCCGGGGTGGAGGAGGAGTGAGAGTACGTGGTCCCTTTGCACCCTGGCTGCGGCGGAAAGGGAGCTGGGTTGTTCCGGCTGCTGTCCCAGCCCTGGCTCTCCGTGCCAGTGTAAGCAGAGCCCGAAGCCTGAGGATCAGCACATCTGCATGCCCAGGTGGGAAATCCACCCTCTGCTTCACAGCATGGTCTCCAGCTCCTTGTATGGCTTGGGCTGACACTGAGTGAGCTCTGTCAAATCCACCGTGTGCTCCCCCCGGGCTCTCTGGCTCAGCTCCTGGGGACAGGGCAGGGGGGGCCGGGCCGGGAGCAGCAGCCCCCGGGTGCCCCCCGCTCCCCGCCCCGCCAGGCTCGTGCTGCAGCTTTGGGGGGCCTGGGAGCCTCGGCCGGCGCAGCAGCAGCTCCCGGGGCGCGCCTGCTGCCCCAGGTGCAGCGCCAGGAGCCTCCGGAAATGAGCCTTCTTGATCTCGGCCTGCACCTGGGAGAGCAGAGGGGGCTGCTGTGCCCAGGGACAGCAAAACAGCCTTGCTGTATCTTGTCCTTTTCCCTTCCCTTCCTTTCCCTTCTCCTTTTCCTTTTTTCCCTCCAAATCCTACTGAGAGGGATGGATCTGAGCTTTTTGCTCTGGTTATCACAGCCTGGGGCTGCAAGTTTGCCTCCCCTGACTCTAAAGGGGCTGGAACAGGGAGCTTAGCTCCTCACTCTTCCCACTTACCTCCCCATTGCAAAAGCAGTAGATAAAAGCCACAAAGAAACCCTGCCAAGAGACCAAAAGAGGTGGAGTTTGAGGTCCCCGAGCCTCCCAGGATGAACATCCCTCAATGCTGGGAGTGCCAACCCACCTGGGAGGAGTTAAAGAGCATCTCGTAGTGCATCTGGATCTGCCACAGGAGCCCGGAGACCTCGGTGTAGGGCATGGCCATGAACACCACGTAGTGGACTCCGAAAAGCGGCATCAGCACCAGCGTGGACTTGAGCAGCTTCCTGAAAGGAGAGACCTCAGAGATTCTCCAGGGCCTGCAGGGCAGCCCCCAGCCCCACAGTGGCCAGGCTGGAGGTGGGAGCAGGAAGAAAGAGCTCAGAACTCCAGAGCCAGGCTTCAATCCAGCAGAGCTGCCAGAGGAGCTGGCTGCCGCTATCCTGCCACCCTTCCTCACACCTCCAGCCCTTCCCACACCTCTGCTCATTCTCCATAACCTCAGGAAGCTCTCCTGGCTGTACAGGCAGGACACGAGGCTGTGGTGCTGCCAGCACTTGCCTGTACTGCTGCCGGGGGTCCAGCTTGCCCGTGGTGGTCTCCCAGAGCTTGGAGGCCAACACCCGGACGATGTTGAGGAAGAGGAAGAAGTTCACCTGCCAAGAGACACCCATTGTGGTGATGGGGCCCACTGTGAGCTGGGGTCTGCCCAAGGAGCCCTTGGGGACAATGACAGGCAGCTCTGGGTGCGGTGCAGGCAGGGACATGGCAGTGGTGCTGTGGTCAGACAGGAGGGACCAGAGCCCCTGGATCCCTCTGGGCTCTCCCTGGGTGCTGGAGTGGCTGGGACAAAACTCCAGCGACCACAAGTGAGCAGCTCTGGTCTCTATCAATCCTCTTTCCTCAAAAGGAATTGGGAGATTCATGCACAGGATTCTTACCACAACTGCAGCCAGGATGGGGACCTGATAAATCCACTTCATGTTCCCTGCACTGAGGTCCCAGCACCTGAGAAGACCAGTACAAAAACTCCTTGGAGAAACCTGACACCACTGGGAAGGATGGCTCCCTGTACCCCCAACCACCCCAACACCCCCAACTCCCACTCTCCAACCCCTTGGTGGGCTTTGTGTAAATCTTGAGCTGTAGCTACAAGCATTTGTAACCATTATGGTGGGGCAAAGCAGATTTAAATGAGCATTAATTTCCTGAGGGTTCCTTGGCCACCTCATCCCAAACTCACGTTGTTCATATGATGGCCTTTCTGCTTTTAAAATGCCTCACTCTAGAATGTGCCCTTTAGCATCCATCTCTGTGCTGTTTATTGATCAATTTATGCTGCAAACCCACATCCACCGTCCTCCCAAACGCAGAACAAAACCACTATAGGTCTGCATTACTGAAAATTCTATGAACAAGCCTTGAATGTCTGTTCCATCCTGTTGTTCTTTTTGGAAAATATTCATTTCCAAAAAGCTCTGATGCCCACAGATACTTGGCTGGCATTTGCAGCCACTCTTCCCCTCCCAAAGGCCCTGGTGAAGGTGGGTGTACATACTGTGTATCTGCCAGCGAGGCCCTGACGCTGGCCCAGATGGACACAAACACAGCAGGGAGACCTAGAAGGGCATGGACAGAGTGAGGAGCAGGGTTGGAGCATCACCTTTGCAGATCCAGCCAGTTCCTGCATCCCACTGCCCTTCCCTGGGCACTTGGTGCTGCTCAGCCATGGCCAGTGCCAGAGCTCCCGGCTGGGGCTGGGGTCTGTGCTCACCCCAGCCGATGATGATGAGCACCCACAGGTAGTTCTTGTTGGAGAGGAAGGCCATGAAGATCAGGCTGTGCAGGTAGAGACCTTCCACCAGGATCCAGTAGTGGTTGGTGGCCAGAAAATAGAGGAAGAGAGTCACCACCAACTTGCAGCCAACCTGTGGGCACATGGAGATGCCTGTGTCAGGCTGGTCCCCAAAAGCAAAACCTGGTGGCTTTTGTTTTCTGGTCATCAAAACCCAGCTGTGCCCCATGTTCTTCTTGCAGAGACCTGCATCTCCTCTGGGATAGTCCAGCATCTCCTTGCCATAGGACAGGTATTCCCTGTACACAGGACAAGGTACACTGGCTCTGGTCTTTAGTGTGGCACCAGGACAGGGAGGAGCTGGGCAGAGCCAAAGGTGGACCTTCATCCCCTCCCCCTGAGCAGCACAGCCCCAGCCTGGGAGGATCCCAAGCACATCCCACTGCATCAGGGCTCCTAAATCCCCCCATCCCCCCATCCACCACTTGCCAGGTGGCCCCGTTGTCCTGGCAAGGGACCCCTGAAATCGTCCTCCCGCATCCTGTCGGCGTCGCTGGGCGCCGTGCCCGAGTAGAGCACCATGTCCTTCAGGAAGATGCTGAGGGCCCGGCAGATGAAGGAGGTGAAGAGGTGCACGTGGATGTAATTCCGTGTGCAGTGCAGGCGCCTGCGGAGAAGGGATGTGACACCAACCAAACCCCAGCTGCCCAACCAACTCACCACACTTGGGCTCAGGGAATGGGGGCTCTCAGAGTGGCCTCTGGGGTGTCTGGGCACAGAAACCAGATCTGGGAGCAAGTGGGGTGTCCACACTGTCCAAGAGCAGGGTGGAGAGATCGGGAGCTGGTCACACTGGGGATGACTGGGGCTTTGGGAAATTGGCTGATGTTTGTGTTGGGTCTGGGGTTGTTCCCATTCCTTTGGGGGCTGCCCCCTCCCCAGGCTCATGTGTGTGTGGACAATGGGATGAGTTCCTGTTCTCCCACACAGGAGGGTCTTTGGCCTCTCCTTACTTGAAGTAGGAGAGGATGCAGACAGCAACGATGAGGGAGGCCAGGGAGATGGAGTAGCCCACGGTGTACATGAGGTGCAGGCGGTCAAACACCTCCTGGAAGAGAAGGACTGAGCTGCACCTCCCTGCCAGAGCACACAGGGAGCAGGGCTGGTTTGAGGAGCAGAGGGAAGAGCCCCTGCCCCCAGCACTTCCCCATGCCTTTGCTTCATCCTCCCGTGGCCCCCATCCACACCCCTTTCCCAGCACCTTTGACAAACAAGGTCACCTTCTGGTGGCTCCGGCTCTCGGAGGAGAAGAGCAGGGCACACTCTGTGTAGTTGGCCCAGGTCTTGTTGATGCTGAGAGCCATGGCCCAGGTCCCATAGGCACTGCAGTACCTGTAGGCATGACCTGGGAACAGCAACGAGCACTGTGGCAGCAGAAGGACCCATGGGAATCCCAGACTTGTCCCTGCACTGTGGATTGTCACCAGGGTGAGGTCACTCTCTGTCCAGGTACAAGACTTGCCTTTGTGGTTGAAGTCGTAGATGTAGTCGGGGCAAGGCACTGACACCTCCTGGCTGGGGGAGCCCCTTGGCCAGCAGATGATCCCATCCCACTCCGGAGGGCAGCTGGGGTCTGGCCAAAGAGCAAAGACACATCTCACATCTCCAGTCAGGGCCTCAGCATAACCTCTGGCTTCCCCAGGTGTGTGCTGGACCAGGGGGAGGAAAATTCTGCCACAGATCCCCTGGGCTGCAGAGAGCGAGAAGCTGCAGGGGCCAGGAGACACATCCCACCTCTTCCAGATGGGGCAAGGCCCCTCCACAGCTCTCATTTGTGGTGTACGTGGAGCTGTTTGGAAAATGCTGGAGCCAGTGCTGGCTGCACCCAGAGCACAGATGGTGCCATGAGCTCCACAAAGCCCTGGGAGCTGAGTGTCCTCAGCCCCATCCCAGCCCAACAGAAAGGACAGCATTCCCCACAGTGTAAGCAGCTCCACCAGGGCTGGCTCATCCAAGCACAGGGGAGGGACAATACCTTTGATCTTCTCCAGCTGAGCCTTTATGTCCCTCTGACACTTTTCCTTGGCCTCCACCAGGAGATAGATCTGCTCTTCTTTGGTGAGAACATCATCAGGATCAACCTGCTCAGACAAAACCCAAGTGACAACCCCTTGGCTCAAGTCATGGCATGGCTATGCTCTCCCACCCCTCTCCAGGAGAGTCAGGTTTGGGTGGCTTTGGGTAGATTCAACAACACAGGGAAGAAAAAAGCTCTTCCTGCATTCCTGCTCTCATTTTTCCCTCTTCCAAGGCTGATGCTGACCCCAAGCCCCTTCCCACCCTCTCCATGGTCATTTCTGCTCATGGTTTTGTGCAGAAATCAGTGGCCTGTCAGGCTCCTGCCCCAGCTCCCTGTCACCCAGCACCAGCAGTGCTGGGTGTCTCTGTTGCCCGTGCTGAGCTCTCCAGGCCAGGTCTGGCAACCCCTGGGTAAAGTGCCCGACCAGGGCTCAGCAAAGCAGCCACTGCCCAGTGCCCGGAGCAGACAGTGAACCCACGGCAGCTTCAGCCTCCCCATCACACCACACGTGCAAATGTCTCTGGGGGTGTTTTAGGCTAAGGTGCTTGAAGGATTTTATAGCCAGGATGAGGACACAGCTTTAAAAGTGAACAGGAGCTGGGATGCAGAAGGGTCACTTTCCCCAGACTGCCTCCAGTGAGCACAGCCAAATCTGGCCCCAGAGAGGAGATCCAGGACTCCTGTCCATGCTCTTCCCCAAAGCAGCATCTGGGTGGGTGGATGGGGGGCTGGTCAGGGATGTGGGGCAGGAGTGGGATCCTGGGGGTGCATCAGGAGGATGGGGGCCTGGCTGTGGGAGTCTCACTGGCTGTGCCCAGCTCTGCCCTCCAGCCCCTCCTGCACTGCTCGTAATCCGCCCGCTCTGCTCCCCCGACGCCTGCGAGGCACTGAACCCTGCCCTGGATGTGCCCAAGAAATGGAAAAGCCATCACTCTGCAGTGCCTCCATGGCTGCTGGAAAGCTTTTAGCAGGAGTGGACATGCTCTCCCGTCCTGCCCAGCAGCTCTGCAGAGCGGGATGTGAGTCGGGAGCACAGCCAGCCCTGCCCGGGCCAGTGACACCACGTTAAAGGCAGGAGAGGACCAGAGGAGCCCCGGGGCCACGCAGACTTACCAGAGCCCACGCCGAGCTCAGGAGGCAGCAGCAGAGGAGAGTCACCATGATAGCTCCCACAGGGCCAGATGCCTCCATGGTGCCACCGTGTCACTCAGATGGGGACTTCAGGGAGCAGAATCGCTGCCAGAGGTGGAGAGGGCTGGCGTGTTCAGCAGGACAGAGCATCTTCTGGGAGCACCTTCCTGGCTGCCAGCCCCACTGAGGTGAGGTGGCACTGGGGGCACAGCCCGTCCCTGGGAGATCAGGGCTGGGCAAGCTCCCTGTCCCTGTGGGATCCCTACAGGGATCTGCTCACAGGCTCTCCAGGCAGGGGGGTTTCTCCCCCCACCGTGCTTGATCCTATTCTCTCTTTGTGTCTTGCCTGCTTTAAGCAGCTCCGGGAGCGTGTGCAAACAATTCCTGTTCGGATGGGGATGGCAGAGGTTTATTGGCTTAGCCCAAGGTGCTAAAATCCTCTTCATTCAAGGCAGATTCCTCTTCTCTTTTCAGAAACTTCTCTCACTGCTCGGTGGCTCATTTTTCAGCTGTCACAGCATTCCCCTACTGCCCCCATGCTCCTAAGTCCCTTCTAGCCCCAGACTGGTCCCAAGAAGCCGGAGGAAGGTGGGGAAAATCCCAGTGAGGTGGCTGGAGGCAGGGAGGCAGAGGGTGCAAGCACGTGAGCAGCACCTCGAGCTGATGCTCTTGCAATGGGATGTCTTTCAGATACGCCAGTTTAACCCTTTTCCTTCTCCAGGGGCTGGGATGTGTTTTGGGGAGATGTGCTGAGATCTGTCCTGCTCTCCCAGGCACCCACAGTGACCTCAGGGCATGTCTGCATTCAGTCTCCTCGGGAGAGGGGCTGGAGGCTCCATCCTGGGGCAGGGGAGTGGAGGGAGCAGCCACCCAGATGGGGTCCCACACCGTCACTGGGCATCAGGTCAGAGCTGGTCCCACTGCAGCTGTCACCATCCCTTGTCACCTGCATGTCCCTGGCATGGCCCCAGGGCTGTCCCCTGCCTTTCAGGGTCATGCTGATGCCCAGTTTGCTCCCACCAGTTCCAACACCCTGTGACCCCCAGCAGCCCGAGTGTCCCCCTGGGGAAATGGGGCACACAGAGGGGAGCCCTCTTTCCCCAGGCAGGTTGTCATTAGTGGGATGAGACTGGAATTCAACAGCCCAGTGCCAAATCCCTGGAACAGCAGCTCCCAGCCTGGGCCCCTCCCCTGGCTCATATAATCCATGTCCAGACACAGCTCTTGCTGCCTCTGTGAGTGCCCCAATCCTGCACAGAGCAGCAGAGCCCCCAGCTCTGCTGACCCTTCCTCGGGGTTTTCCTGGCAAGGCAGCTCATTCTGGTCCCAGCCACGAGCCCCCGTGACTGCGTGATAAGGGTCAGAGTCCTGCTGGGCTCCTGGGGGAGGGGAGGCCAAGGGAACACCACAAATCCCAAGGACAGGGCTCAGGAGGGGCTGCTGCTCCTGCTGATGGAATCAGACAGCAAAACAAGCCCCACGGTGGCCATCAGCTGAAAATCAAGGAGGGACTGGGGACATTGTCTGCAGCTGCCTGTCTCCCCTGCCCGAGCCATGGCGTGGGTGTGACACCAGCTCTGCCAGAGGCTCCTCGGGATGCTGCACAGGAACAGAGGGTGAGCAAGAGACAAACAGTCTCTCTGCACCATGAACGTTTTCTGAAGGCTCTGCTGGGTCTAATTTCTGACCCAGAAGCTGCTGGGGAGTGAAGATGGAGTTAAGGTGAGGTTATTTTGGAGTTGATGGATGCTGAGGGGGAGGCAGCTAGGGGCAATTTAATTCCCTTGATTTCCCAGGCGACACCTGACCCAGGCTCTGAGTTCAAACTTAGCAAAACATATTGAGTTTTTTTGCTAAATGACTCATTATATTCTAGAGAGCTCTGGAAAGCAATGATTGCAAATGACACCCATCCAGCCCCCTCGGCCCCCCAGTCTCTGCCAGCAATGAGGAGATGATGGCACACAGAGAATTCCCAGCAGTTTGTGGCTGCTCCCTCCTCCAGAATGACCTCTGTAACTCTTCCTTTGCCCTGGTGCCCCACACATCTTGTCTATGTTGATGGTTTAGAATGTCTCAGTAAAACCCTCAAGCCCCTTTTTCTGGGATGATGAACTTCAATGAGTTCTGTGCCTTTGTGAGTCCTCAGCTGGGAGAGGAGGGTGAGAGCAGGAGCATCTCCCACTAGAGCCTGCCCAGCACCTGGAGAGGAGCCAAATGGGGATTCCATCTGCCCTGCAGGTTTTGGAGGTGCTTGGTATGGATGGTGCAAAGCTGGGAAAGATTTGCACCGATGAATTCACTTGTGGCTTTGGCCATCATTTCCATTTCCTCAGTAGCCACCCTGAGGGAGGTGAGCACCTACACTGGTCTTTTCTAGGGTCCAAACTCAGCCCTTGGGGGGAGACTGGGACAAAGCAGACCCCGAGCACAAGGCCGAGGGAGTGTCCAGAGAGTTGTGAGCTCCTTTGAAGCAGCACTTTGTAAATCCTGGTCTCAAAAGGGCTCTGCAGTGCTGGCCCTCGCAGCCTGTCCACAAACAGGCGCGTTTCGCCGTGGGTATCGTGGCAGGTTTATCAGCCATCCTGTTGCTATTTTCTTGCCTGGCCCCCATGGCCTTTTGCGTTTAGGTTTCAGTGATCACTTAGCAAGCAGCCCCCATGCAGCCCACCCGGTGCAGGTGCTGGAGGGGGACATGTCCCCCCTTGTACAGCTGGAGGGGGGGCGGCTGGTGGCTCCGTGGAGCCAGGAGCCGATGACAATGGGCAATTGTCAAATTGGGGCCCCTCTCGTTTGAGTTTTCTTCCTTTTATAGTAAGTAGCAGTTGCTCCAGCAGCTGGCCTGCCTCTCCAGGGTGAGCACTGGGCTCTGTATATAAGGGAAGGAGCAGCCTTTGCCTTTCATCCCTCCGTTCATTCGCTTCCCCTCGCTGGGCGGCAGGACTCACCCCGCACCTCCGCAAATCCCAGCGCGATGCCGCTCAAGAAACCCGACCCGAGGAAGGAAGCAGCCAAAGCAGCTCCAGGCTCGGAGCCTGCCTTCGACCCCAAGAGCGTGAAGGTGAGTGAGGAATGAAGACGTCACCGTGTTTCTCCGTGCCTGTCATCTGCCATGCACAGGCGATGCAAAGCGCTCTGCAAATGGCATTAGCCAGGCTGGAAGCCAGCCTTGGGAGGGGAAATTATCTGATTGTGCAGATGCAGCAGGCTGGGAGTGATGCTGTCCTCGCTGGGGAGATGTCTCAGTGTTGCCCACCCAGCCCTGCCCAGCACCCACTGGAGGGAACCAGGACGCTGCTCCCAGAGCTGCGGCTGCAGAATCGAACCCCCAGCTCCTGCTGAGACCCCGTGTCGGGGCCTCAGGAGCAATAAAAAGCTTCTCTGCCACCCACTGTCTCCATCCTGAAGTATTTTGTTGCCTGTGTTGCCTCCTCCACATAAGAGCATCCTTTATCCAACAGCTCCACAACAGGGACTCACTTTTTCCATGATTCCTCAGGATACTTACATGTTTAAGCCATAGCTGTGACAGGAGAGTTATTAAGAGCAGGCTCAGCATGGAGGCTGTTTAATCACTTGACCTTGGGATCAGGCCCTAAAATAACATCCTTTCCACCCAAAGTAGTCCTGACTGTGGTCTGAGCATCCCTCCTGCCTACCCACCCCGCTGCTGCCAGCTGTGCTCTCCACAGGGATGTCAGCTCCACAGCGGGGGCAGAAGCAGTCGCGGACACAGCACAGCCAGACATGGCATAGATATGGGACAGGGCATGGATACAGCCCCCTGCCCCTAGCCTGTGGAGGGAGAGTTCCTTTGCTCCCTCCAGCAGCAGTTCACATCTCACGCCCAGCTTTGCTTCCTTCTCTTTACAGATTGAATTCACGGCAGAGCAGATTGAAGGTAAGTGCCTAGTTCAGCTTCTCTCAGAGATGGCTTTAGAAAGGGGGAATCCTTTTTCCTGGTAGTTTTCACCACAGACATAAGAGCTGAGGCCACACACATTAAATCGCCTCCTGGGGGAAAGGCCAGCAGGATCCAGAGCCTGGCAGGGAAAAGGTATTTTTCATTCATGGTGTGAGATGCAGCCTGGGTCAAAGCCAGGGCGTCTGGTGGGAGGAACAGCCTCTGGCGACACAGGGACAGCCCCAGAGAGTGGAGATCCGAGTGGAAAAGGGGATAAGTATGGATGTCCTGCAGCAAAGCCAGCTGCTGAGAATGCAGGGATCCAGCAGGTCACCCAGCCAGCTCTGCAGAGGTGACAAAACCTGCTCCAGCAGCCAAGTGACTCATCTAAGGAGTCTGGCAAACCTCAGCCTGCATTGCGCAAGCTCACTCGGGGCTGCGACACATTCCAAGGGCACAACAGGCACGTGTCCGTCCCTTCCCTGCCTGCCAGGCACGACGGGCTTCCCTGGAGTGGGAATGGGGCCACTCCGAGCTCTTCTTCCCCGCAGAGTTCAGAGAAGCCTTCGGGCTGTTTGACCGGACGCCTGCGGGGACGATGCAGATCAGCTACGGACAGTGCGGGGACGTCCTCCGGGCGCTCGGCCACAACCCCACCAACGCAGAGGTCCTCAAGGTGCTGGGCAAGCCCAAACCAGAAGGTGACAGCAAGCTGGGGACAGGGTGGGACAAGCAATTCCTGTACTCCCTGTCAGCAAGTAGAGGGTTACATTCTCTGTAGGAAGAACGCTGAAAGGTGAAGGAAATTATGCAGACAGGCTTCATTCCTGTGTAATTCCTTCACTCCCCTTCCCCATACCGTGGATGATGACATATGGGATAGGCAGTCCTCACACAGGAATGGTGGCAAGTGATGCTTAGCAGACTTTATCCTGAACTGGTGCAAACCGGTATAACCAGACCAGTCTCAGTGCGGCCACATTACTGTGGTGACAGATGACCCACCTGATGGTTTAGTTTTGGGCTGGTATCAGGGGTCTCTGTGCAGTCCCCTGATGTTAATACTTCATTCCTCATATGGATCTTCCAATTTCGAGTCTAATACAATAGTTCTGTCTCCTCACGGGGCTTCTCCCCTGCACTCTGATGGAAAAGAGACCAAGAGAGTTAATCAGGAGACCCTCAGAGGCTGAATTCAGCCCCACGAGGGTTCATCTCTGACCCCATCTCCTCCTCTTCCAGAAATGAACACAAAGATGCTGGACTTTGAGACCTTCCTCCCCATCCTGCAGCACTTCACCCGCAACAAGGAGCAGGGCACCTTCGAGGACTTTGTGGAAGGGCTGCGTGTCTTCGACAAGGAGGGCAACGGGATGGTCATGGGGGCCGAGCTGCGCCATGTGCTGGTCACGCTGGGTATGGCTGACCTCGGGGGAGCAAGGCATGGGCCCCGAGCTCTTTCTGGGCAAGTGGCTCAGGTAGCTGGCTGGTCTCACATATCAGAGGTTCTTTTCACTCTGCTGCTCACAAGCTCTTTTAGGAGTCATTAGTCCTGAATGTGTGGCCGTTTCCACCTCACGCCACAGCTTCATGCATGACCCAGGCAAGATGGAGACTACAGGACAGCCTCAGTAATCAGACAGCTGTTGCAGTGTGGTCCTCTCTCCACCATCTCACACCAGCATTCCTCAGTTGTGGCACACAGCTCTTCTCTAATCCCCTTCTCCTCCCTCTGGTGTCTCTGGTTATCTGGAAGAAGGGCAGGTCCTGTCAGGCTGAAAACCCTTCCCCTCACCTCTCCATCCTCCTGTTCCAGGAGAGAAGATGACAGAAAGCGAGGTGGAGCAGCTCATGGCAGGGCAGGAAGATGCCAATGGCTGTATCAACTATGAAGGTAAGGGCAGGAGATTCCTGTTGGGGCCATCTCAGACACGGCTGTCTTGTCTTAGGGTGCAAAATGCATCCTCTGCAAGGGCTCTGGTTGGACTTGATGATCTTAATGGTCTTTTCTAACCTTAATGATTCCATGATTCTGTGACACTGGTGATCACTGGAAAGGAGGTGTGGACCAGCCTCCAAAGCCTTTCCAAAAAAGCACTGAGGCTTGTCAGCTGGGGTGGGAACAAGGTGGTTGTGCCAGTGATTTCCAGGAAAAGCAGCTGAAGGCAGCATGTTTCCAAGGAGTTCAGGCCTGTTTTATCCACAGTTTTGGCACTGTTTTGTTGCAATCTATTGAAAATAAACAAAGCCAGCATCTTTCCCAGCAGAGGCTAATTGGGAACATTTGGAGACCTGGATCACTCGCTGCTCCAAGAGGGTGAAAACTTGGAACAGGAGGTGGTTAAATTTAGGAACCCCTAAAACTGGAGACCAGTGAGGAAAAGAGGGGACCCATTTCTCTTGGCCTCAGAAAAATGGGGATAATGGTACTGGCTCATCTCCAAGGGTTGGCATCACTCTGACCAGGTTGGGGATGGCAGGCAAAAAGTGGGAACAGAAAAAGGAATATTAGTCCTGGCACAGCATCCCCTTCATCCCTGGGGGGTCTGGGCTGGGGGTCCCCCTGCTGCCTCTCCACCTGCTCCTCCCAGCTCAAAGCATGTCCTGACCCCTCATGCTCTCATTTCTCCTCAGCTTTTGTCAAGCACATCATGTCTGGCTGAAACAAGAAACTTCAGGTGAGTTCAGTGGCATCTCCTGCTGCTCACTCCAAAATTGGAAATCCTGCAAGTAACAGCCAGGGGCAGGGAAGCCAAACCCCAAACCTGCAGTGGATTAATGCCACAGGAATAATCCCAGCTCTGAAGGCACAAAATTATGTTCATGATAAAGAATTTCACTTGTAACTCCTGCCAATTAAAATTTATCAGGACAGCATCCCAGCTATGATGGTCCTTGGTGGTCTGGGTAATTGGGTGGAGTCTCTGCTTGGAAAGAAAGATGTGATTTATGGTACCACGTTTTCTAACCTGCCAGAAGCTGAGGGGGTCAACAGCAGCCAGTGGAAATCAATATTTTTAAACCTGCATCAGTGAATGACTCGATGCTAAGAAAATATTTGGTACTTAGAGAGGAAATTTCTGAACTGAGAAATATTAACATTCCCATTAATGTTACAAAGAATAAGGAAAATGTACCACGGATGTTTGTTAAACTTTTTCATGTTCCTTCAGATCTTCCTGAGGAAAACAGAGAAACAGTGCTAAGGGGATGAGTTTTCCTTGAGGCTGAATTGTCCCTCTAAAATCTACTCAATTGAAAAGAAAATCCAAATTTCTGCCTGGCCCCAGCTTCCCCACCAATTTCTTATGATTTCATTATCTGTTTACCTTTTTAAACATTTCTCCTACCTCTCAGCTATGTAAAAGGCAGGAGGCCAGGGAAAAAAAAAAAAAAAAGTAAAAATGACCTTCAGATAGCGCTAAACACACAAATTAAACATTTAAAAATCTCTCTCCTCCCAAAATCTCTTTAAACACCAGAAGGTTAAAACACAGACAGACAGAAGTCTGAACTTTGAATGTTCAGCATCCTTTTCATCTCATTTTAATCCATTTCTCTCCAGTTCCTGTTCATCAGCTCAGCACTATAGATGGTTTGGTGGCAAACGCTGACAGGAGATTTAATTCTTCACATAACTATTTGCATATAAAACTCTTTTTTAAATGGTGTTGAGTTATAGCTTTTGACATTTTGGGTTCATCAGAGAAAGAATATTCTGAATACTCTCATCCCAAAGATTCTTTGCATTCAGACCTCTCCCACTTGTCTCCCAGGCTCTCAGAAATGCTTGAATCCACCTGAGCACCACGAAGAGCAAGATTCCTCCATGCATGTCCTTTCCCTGGGATGTTTTGCCTCAGCCATCGTTGGGCACCACATGTGTGTGCCTGAACCTGGTACTCAGTGACATATCTGCAACTAGGTTTTAAACCTCAAGTTACTCTTTTCAGGTTTTCTCTGTGACATTTGTCTTATTAAATTTCAGTCCTTCCTCCCTTAAATGGTTTGTCTGCCTTGGCTTGGGTCTACCTATTGACATGGTGGGTGGAGGAGACCCCTCGGTCTCCACCAGCTCTCAGAGGTAACAGGATATTTCTATGGAGAGGGGGAAAAGGCAGGGGATGCAAAGGAAAAGTTCAGACTTGTAAGTGAGGATCATCACCCCTCCTTTGGCAGTGGTCAGGAGCTGGGCTGCAGCTTGGTCACCTCTTGCTGATGCAGACCTGGAGCCAGGAGAGCACAAGGGGCAGGCTGCATCAAAGACACACCCTTTGGTTTTGGGAGGTTCTTAATTTCCTCTCTGCCCTAAAACCAATCCTTTTCCAAAACTGTAGGCCATCCATTCTTCATCACACTGTCCCACGAGCATTCCCTCCAGGTCCAGGCTGAACAGCACTGTGGAGCAAAGAGGGACCTGCTGGCCCTGCCACTGTCCCTGTCACAGAGCGACCCACAGGCACCTCTCCTTCATCAATGCACTGCTTGTCCCCGTCAGGAAAGGCCCTTAAAAACCCCAAAACATCAGAAAAGCATGAAAAACATTCTTTGTTCTGTATCAATGAGATATCCTAAAGTCTAGTTTCGAAGGTTTCCAGAAAATTGACTCCTGCTGAATCAGCAAGGGAGAAGAAAAATGGGGCAAGAACAGGTATTTCTGGGCCAGGTCCACCCTCATGGCATGGGGTGATGCCCCACGGGGTGTGGGTAGTGTCCTGCCAGGGATGGAGCCCAGCCAGGATGGGCTCCCTGGATGGTTCTTCTCCAGGCAGATGGTGTGCTCCAGCCAGGAGCTGTCTGGGGGCTGAGTGATACAAGCTGGTGACTCTCTCCCTCTTCCTACCTGCAAAGCAATCTTCAGAGCATCACCACAAGCGGTGAATAATTCATGACACATAACTCAGCCTTCCCATCAGCAGAACACCTGGGAGCAAAAAACACTTTCCTTTGATTTGTTCCTTATTCCAACGTCCTGACTCTGTCTTTGACTAGAAATCGAAGGCACTTTGCTCTGATGTGTTGACTTCAGCTGCCACTCGCTCGTTCTGTGCAGTGACTGAGTAACAGCTGCTTTCAATTCCCACTGTTTGATTCAACTGCTCATAAAAAGCAACATAAGCTGTTTATAGATGCAAGATTAGATTTGAGCTCCTCTTTGTGCTATTCCTACAGCTTCCATTGGGCAGGATCTGGGCGCCTCGTGTTTTTAATGTAGTATCTGTGCTTTAACCTCCTAGAGGACCGTGGTGACAGGGCCAGAAGGGACCCTGATTGCTGCACACTCGCTCCAGGGTTTGTCCTTGTCACTGCTGTGGCACTGACTCCTGCAGCAGAACGTGCTGTGGCAGAGAGGAACGGAGCAGAGGAGAGGTGGGGACCTGCCTCGGCTCACAGAGGAAATCCACAGCAGGGACTGGGGCCCTGGAGCTGTGATATCCCTGCTATAGCCACGATATTCCTGCTGTAGCCATGATATTCCTGTATAGCCTCAAGATCCCTACCAGCCAGGATATTCCTGCTACAGCTGTGACATCCCTGCCCTGCAAGCCAAGAGGCTGCACTCTCCCTCTGTGCACAGCACAGACCTTGTGTTTGAGCCCCCAGCTTCCATGGTGAAAGGAGTAACACTAAATTAAAACCAAAGTGAGACCTGCAAAGAGGCAGACAGAAAGCAAGCAGTGGGAAATGACAGAACTACAAGAAAACGGTTTTCCATGTGAAATATCCAGCCTTGAAGCCCCCCCTGAGGGAAGAGCCAGCCACACTTTACTTTAGGGACCTGTTGGGTCTCTTTAAGATAAAGCAGAGCTGGTTTGTAGCAAAGCAGGTTGGAATGATGCACTTGAACAGGCACAGTATGTATGTCTGTACCTCTGCTTGTGCCTCCTTGCCTCTTCCCCTGGCAAGGCTGCCTCCCTCCCCCTCTGGAAAAGTTGAGGATTCCACAGAGAGAGCAGCTTTAGTCCCATGGACATTTATAAAAGCATCTGTGGGTGCCAGTGAGTGACCCACAGGCAGAACTGCACTGGAAGACTGAGGAGCCTCTGTACATCCAGATGTCCAAAGACAACAGCAAACACTGACCTTTTACAGTTTGGATGTTTTACATGACTTCCAGGGGACTCTGAGGAGAGGCACAAGGAGCCCCCACGCTCCGGAGAGCCTGTATCTCTTCAGGCTGTGATAAGACACATTCTCATACCAAAGAAGGTCTGGATGTCAGTTCTGTGGCCCGGGGAATGGGAGAGACAGATGGAGCCAGCTTTCATCCCCGGGAGGAGTTATCTGCAGTGCACGAGATCAGCAGGAGGGTGAATATGGACTGTGCTCCTTGAAAGGCTCCTTCCTTGGAGCCCCAGACACATACACACACCACCATCATCACCATCAGCAAGTGAGGCCAAAGGCCTTCAGAGGAGGAGGCACTTCACTGTCACTCACACCCTCCTTTTGTCTGGCAAAATTACTTGGATGGACCTGGTTAGGAAACCAGGTGTCCATCCCAGAGGACAGCACTGCTCTGCAGTTAAAATTTGTTATTTGTCTCAGGTGAAGCATTGAAGAAAGCTTTGCCTGCTCACACCCTGAATGCAAAACACCTGCAGATTTGCTGCCAACTAACAGATTTGTAACTACACCTTTCAGAAGCGCAGAGAAAGAGGGGAAGGAGGCAGGCTGAGCCCTCCTGCTCCACACACAGCTTTTGTTCTCACATAAAGATACAGCCCCTGCCCACGTGTGCTTGGCAGCACATCAGGCACCGACCTTCAGGCCCGAGTGCAAGTGCAAAGCACTGAACAGAGCAAGAGGGAGGGCAGAGTGCATGTGTAGGTGTGTGTGCATCGGGGCGCTGTTATGGCTGATTCAGCAAGCCCACAGAAGGATTTGGAGAAGGAGGGCCTCTGCTAGCTGCAGGTGGCTATTGATAGGTCAGTATATTTAATAAACTGAGGTTTACCTGTGCATCTTTATTTCATTCTTTTGCCAAAGCTCTGTGTGCCAGATGTCACACTTTCAAACGCATCCAAGCTGTAACAGCCAAATTATTTGCCTTGTACTTACAATCCAGTAGGCCAGTTTTACTCCTGGATATGAACACTTTCAAACGCATCCAAGCTGTAACTAGCAAATTACCTGCCTTGTACTTACAACCCGGTAGGCCAGTTTTACTCCTGGATATGAGGACATCACGAGCAATTTCTTCACAGAATGGGTTGTTAAACATTGGAAGGGGCTGCCCAGGGAGCTGGCAGTCCCCATGCCCGGAGGTGGACGTGGCACTCAGCGCTCTGGCCCATTGACAAGGTGCTCACAGGTTGGACCCGATGATCTGGGAGGTCTTTCTCAACCCACATGATCCTGCGATTTTGTGATGTCGTGGCTGAACCTATGTGGGGAGCACCATCAGCTCCCCCTCAGGGACGGGGACAGGACCTGGCCCGTGCTGCCCCGACACTGGGAACGGGGACTCGGGAACCACCGGCCCAACCCAGCGCGGGGCCGGGCTGGCTCAGGACGGAGCCCTCGGACCAGCACCCCGAGAGACGCGGGGGCTCCCGACACACCTGGGGATCCCCAGAGCCCGTTCTGTGGCACCAAGTAAAGGTTCTGCATTCCAGGGGTGCAAAGGCGCTCTGAGGGACGAGCCACAGGCCGCGCCGCGCTTCACCGGCCTCCTCACGCTCGTCCATCTCCGTCCTCGCTCGATCATCTCCGTCTCTGCTCGGACATCTCCGTTCCATCTCGTCCATCTCCGTCTCTGCTCGGCGATCTCCGCCCCAGTTCGGCCATCTCCGGCGCCGAGTTTCCTCCCGGCTGCCGAGCGCGGCTTTCCCAGCTGTTTTCCGTCGACGCTCGGCTCTTTCCGCCTGCGCCTTCGGGTATTTCCGGCGGACGGTTCGGGTATTTCCGCCGCCGGTTCGGGCGGACTCGGCGCCCGCCGGCCTCGCTCGCTCCGGTAACGGTCGGTGCGGGTTCAAATGAGCCGCGGCCGGGCCGGGCCCCGCCGTGACTCTCTCTGAGCCGGGCCGGGACCGGGGCCACCCCGCTCGGGCTCAGCGACCAGGAGGCGGAGGCCGGGGAGAGCAGGATGACGGTGCTGCAGGAACCCGTCCAGGTACCGACCCCCGGGCGGCTCAGGCCCCAAAGCCTGGCCCGGCCCGGGTTAGGCCGCCCCGCCCGCTCCGGGGCCGGGGCTCCGGGCCGCTCTCGGCGGCCCCTCGGCCGGTGGGCCCGCAGGACCTCCAGCTCCTCCGCCCTCCTCCTGCCGGAGCCCGCCGGGCTTCCCCTTCCAGCCTGCCGTCCCCATCCCCGGGCCGGCCGCGCTCGCCCCTTTGCCCCCCGGGCCCCTGAGGGAGCTGTCGGTGTTCCCGCAGCTCCTCAGCCGGTTCGGCTCCCAGGAAAGGGCCCCCGGGAGACCTGTTGATACTTCGCTCACCTTCCTGCGTTTGCTGCCGTGTCGTGTTTAAATGCTCGCAGCGTGCTCGGATCCCTCCGTGTCGTGCGAGTGAAGGACGTTCCTTCTTCCCAAGGAGTTGGTTTTTTTTCGGATTAATGGGAGACCTAGGAGAGAAAATGATATAAATTTCGTTTTCCTCTCGTGTTTCAGTCTCACTGCAGTTACTCTGGTGGGTTTCGTGTTCTTGTGCTGAGCCTTCCCATCCAAAAGTCGTGATTTGCAGAATTAAGAACTGCTTTTTCTTTCTGCAGTTCCTGTATGCCCATTCTCTAACTATTCATAATCTTCATTAATCAATCGTCTCATTCATGTTCCCATTCTTTTTTAAAATATATTTTTAGCATCTTAACACGATGTTTTGGGCTTTTTTTTCTAGTTGCAGCAAGAGGTTCCTGGCAGCAGTGTCTTGTTAGAACACGATTGTGTTCTGTAATGAACATAATGAGGATTCTTGCTTTTGGCTCTTTTCTTTCTAATGAAAAGGTGGAAGGGGAAGAAAGGTTCCTGTGGACAACCATCCTGCTGACTTGACCCTGTCTGTGGAAGATGGTGACAGTGAGGGCATTTTTGTAGACCAGGGGTTTGTGTCCTTGATGCCACCACTCTCCTCATCCCCTCTGAGAGCAGGGATCAGTGCTGGAAATGCTTTTGGCCACCTGGTCCCTCTCCTGCAGAGGCCATCCTGCACCACTGGTGTTAGCTGTGGAGCTGGGCTCGTTGTTTTGCACCAGTTGGGTATTCTAGGAAAACATGGGATTACAATAGAAAAGGAAGGAAGAATGCACTGCAGTGTGAATGAGTGAAGCTGACAGGAAACAATACCAAATGTTTCCAGTGCTGTGCTAACTAGACTGACCAAGTGGAAATATCTGCTCTCCTGAGAGCTCCCTGATAGAAATGTGGGGTCTTGTTGTGGTATTTCAGAAAGGTACAGACCCCTCTAATGCTGTTCTCCATTCTTAACCTCTTCCCAACTTGGATGTTTTGATGAGGCTTTGCTGTGTTGAATGTATCTATTTAGACTGACTACATCTATTTAGATTCTGCTTTTAAATGACAGATCATTCCTTTAGCAGTAGTTCTGCTGCTGTCAGTTTTACTGCTGTTCCTTGCTTGCAGGAGTGCTGGTAAGTTTAGGAATTATCTGTGACTGGGTAAAGTCCATTGTGTTTCTGAATTCCCAGTTTAGCTGAAGTCCACGTACTTAGATCTGTTTTTATCATTTTCTTAAATGAAATGATTGGGGAAATTGACACTAGTTCTCATTTTTGTCATTGCAGAGATTTTTCCTGTCTATTTGTCTGTTCTCTCCCAGCCTTTCAGATGTCTACAGGGCTCAGCATTCCAGGAAAAAAAACTGTCATCCTTACATCCTCACAGCTGTGATGTTACTTATTTGTCACAGTGTGACGGATAAATAACAGAATTTGTGTTTGTATGTAGCCTTAAAAATGTTGTGCTTTAATTAAATGAAATTCATGTCCCAGAAAGCATTCTGGCTACTGGTTAGGTTTCTGCTAACTTTTAAAATTCTTTTAAGTTGAACAGAGTGCCAGAGTTTACAGCCCTGTGCTGTACTTCCTGATATGGTCGATTTAAAACCCTTCAGCTCCAACATAAAACTGTGTCCCATGTGCTAAGAAACAGGCTGGATGCCTTCCAAATACTTCTGAAAAACATCTTGGAAAGAAAATGAGCACTTTGCTTGGAATTGAGCTGTTCAAGGTGATCATCTGCTGTGACTCACTGGAATGGTGCTTGAACTTGGCTGCAGACTGCAGGACCAACGTGTGCTTGTTCAGTGGGCAGAGTTTGTGTAAGTGGGGAATGCAGCACAGCCCATCCCAGAGCTCTCCTCCTCCCTGCCCACCCTGAGGACTGAAATCATGGCAGAATCTGCTTAGCATGGCAATATAGGCTAAACAGCTTGGAAAACAATTTTCAAGGTTGTATAACTGTCAGAAGAGAGCATCTCTCAAGAGCTCTTTGGCTTAGATGTGAAGTGACACTTGGACAATGCACAGGATTTTCTGGGTAGAAGATGGACCTGTCTGAATCTGATTTTATTTTCCTGCTCTCCTTTCTGAAGATGCCTTGCTGCAGGGCTGTGTGTGGTAGTTTTGGAATTCCGTGTTAATTTTGCATTTCAAATTAATTATTTTTTAAAAGAGTGATTAGGACCTGGAGGTTCATCCTGTCTGCAAGCACACTTGAATAAAATGTGGAAACGCTTCCAACTTTTTTCCTTTCCTCCACTATGAAGTGTTTCCTTCCTATGGAAACACTTCCAACTTTTTCCTTTCCACTTCCAACTTTTTACCTTCCTGAGAACACTCTTCTGGTGTGGTTTAGCAATTGTGTACCACTAGTGCTGTGTACATGCATTGTGTTTCTTCTAAAACAAGCTCAATTACTGTTCTATATTGAGATTAATGTTCCTGTCCTAGACGGTGGGCAAGAAATCCTCTTTTTTTGAGGCACAGTCATGGTTTAGACATCTGTTCTCGTGGAAAATTGTTGCTGCATAGGTATGGCTGATTCCCTGCTGCCTTCCTTTCCTCTTCCTGCTCTTTTAGGAGAGTGTGTGTGAGGATCCAGCCTCCAGCATGGGTCAGTTGAGGGCAGGAGGCACATTTTGGGCTGCAAAATGATAATTGCTAGAGAACAGGGATTCTACCAGCCCGTTTCTTGCTTTCACTGGGACTCTGCTCCACAGCAATTGTTATTTGAGCCAGGGTGTAGTGTAACTCTTACAAAGTGGCTGTGACATAGCCCCAAATCCCTCGTGTCCCCTCTTAGCCTTTGGCAGGATTGTTACTGGCAACTTGCTCTGGTTTGAGCAGTCAGATGACCCTGATTTTCCCACTCCCACCCCCACACCTTTGTTTTGTAAGCTGGCTGAGTTACAACCCTGCAAAGACAGGATTTTTAACCTGCCACAACTTGGCTGGATTCATCTAAACGTCACTTGTGACTTGGTGAAGGAAAAGCTGCTTTTGGGAGCAAGAGAACTGGGAGACCTTGGGTTGCTCTGGCTTCAGGATGGCTTAAAAGATTGTAACCCTGACCTTCTATCTGCCTGTTTGTCCTGCTCTGTCTGCAGGGCATGGAACCACCTTCAGCCTGGGAACCTTTCAAGGCAGCAGGGAGGCTCAGTTATCTGAAATATGGAATACAACCAGAGAGAAACAATAGCGTGTTTGTATTGCAAAGAGAATTCACTTCTAAATACGTCCAAATACTTCCACACAAGCTTAAAAGCACCTGTAGACTTCTTAAGCATATTCTTGGGATCTACTTATAGGAAAAAAACAGATTCTCTGTAGAGATTTGTTTATGATATTCCCTGTAGTACTTGGGAGCCCTGGTGTGTGCTGTTCATGACGGCTGTGTGGGCTTCCCGTGAAGAGAACTTGCACAGTTTTCACACCCTGTGTTTGTCAAGTTTGTGTTGGAAGCAGTAGCATATGGTACATGTAACTCTGTGATGTTTGGATTTTTTTTTTAATTTTCTTTTTTTTAGATGAAATTGGCACTTGCCTTTCCAGCTGGGAATAGCACTGCAGGGCATTATTGCTTTCCCTGTGGAAGATTTCTTTTCATTTTGGAGTGTCTCATGGGTTTTAGAAGCAAATTCTATTTGTCTTTGGTTGCTGATGAGTATTAGAAAAATTCTAGATCACAGTGCCTTGAATTCACAAGTTCAGATCTTGTTTGGGATCAGTAATAGCAAAACTACTGCAAAATGGCTCTGTTTAATCAACACAAGTCTCATCTTGACCAACACTGAGAGGTTTCTGGGCCTGTTGGGCTTTGGTTTGGCATCTCAGGGAGATGCTTTAATGGGATACTCTGACCACTTGGGGTTGGGTTTTGGTTTTATCTTCACTGAAGGTGTTGTTGTGTGGTGTTGAGTTGTGCACCAGCCTGAGACTCGGTAATTTCTGAGGGGTGTGGATAATTGTGGCTGGTAATGAGCGAGAAACACTCTTAAGGTTGATACATTACTTCAATGCAGAGTTTGGTGGGGTTCTGGTGGGGTTTTTTAAACCTCCTTACTAACAGCCGAAACAAATACAACTTACCTAGCATGTTCATCCTCCCCTTTCATTTTATAGCTCTATAAAACCGAGCTGAACTTTGCCTTTTGACAGTAAGAGGTAATGTTTTTTGCATTTTCAGAGCTCCCCACTAAATGAAGATGGTTTTCTTGCCTTGCAGGCTGCTATCTGGCAAGCACTGAACCATTACGCGTACCGCGACGCCGTGTTCCTCGCAGAAAGGTTGTATGCAGAAGGTGTGTACTTTGCAATTATAAAGCTGATGCCTTTTTTTTTTTTTTTCAATTTTAATTTGGCATTTGTGAGCCTCTGCTCCTGCTTTATTTTCCTCCTGTTCTGATAGTGAAGTTTAGCTTTCTGCTTGGGGAAAGCAGAGGAACGCCTTGCAGTTAGGTTGGAAAAATGTAATGGCAGCAATTTTATTTTACAGTAAAATCTTAAAATTAAATTCAGATTTGTGTGTTTAAGTGCAGTGTTTACAGTGATCTGGTTTATGGTATCAAATGGGAGAATGTTGGGGGTTTTTTAATAACCCTCAAGCATTGCATTCTTCCAAGGGCACTTGAGGATAGATGCAGCACACAAATTCTACAAATTGGCTTGACATTGAAAGCTGTCTTTGCTGATAATGCAGCTCAGATATGTTGATTGGCTCAAAGAGAGTCTTGTGATGGTGAGAGGAAAGCACTGTGAAATTGAGACAGTGAGAACCAGAACATATGGAACAGGTATCTCCTGCTGAATCCCTGCTAATTGTTACTTCATTGTAAAGCTGTCAGGCTGGGGTCTTGGACAGGGAGCAGGCAGCAGTTACACAAATCTCTACTTTCTCTGGGTTCTTCAAACACTTTTTTGGTGAGTTCCAGCACCTTTTATTTCTTTAACCTTTTCTCCATGACCTCAGATAAGCTTTTTGTTCTTCTGTACTTCTTTCTCCTTGATACTGGTGGTCAGCTTTCCTTCTCTGTTTTGAAAGGTATTGTTCCCTAACCACTAACACAAAAAACCCCAATCCTTAAGCTAAAATGCAAGCATTGTGTGATTTCTCATGCTAAACAACCTGAGCTTATAGCTTGAATTAAACTGTATAAGCTATTTCATGCTCTGTTTTGTAATGAAATATTTTGCCCACCCTGCCCACAATGCACTTCTTAACAACGGAAGCACAAACCTAAGTTTTGAGAAATAAAGGCTTCTTTCTCCTTGTGTCAGGGTTACAAATGGAATCTGAAGTGTTTGATCTGGTGCTGAAATGAGAAATACTGTGTAGAGTATTGTGTAACCTGATAATCCAGGTGTTTATGAAGAAAATAGAATTTTAGGGATGACAGAGCTCCCCTGAACACAACACACTGTGAGGTGCAGGGAAATGGTAGATTGAAGGTGATTGCCAAGGTTTTCAGAACAAAGAGAATCCACTTTTTGCAGCAGCCAGGAGAAAAATACCTGACTTGATAGTAACACATCTTTACAGAATAATTCTCTGCAAGAATACTTCAAACAGCCTTTTTCAGTGGCCAGCAGTGCTGAGAGAAAGCAGCATGAATGCTGACACTTGGTGCAAGCAATTAACTGCTAACAAAACATGTGGCTCCTGGTTGAAATAAGTGGTTACACTGCAAAGTGGAAGCTGCAGAACTTGAATACAGTGGCTCCATGTTGGCAGGAATGATTTCACCCTGAGAAAAACTTCTTTTAAGTCTACCTGCAATTACTGTCCTTGATGGGACATCTGTGGCTTGGTCGTTTCCCAGAACTCTCAAAGTGTGTTAAAGTAGTGGATAAAAATTGATTTAAGTTGAATTTTCAAAAAGGTCTTCTGGTGGTGTTTTTAGGATAAGGCTAATAACATGATCTCTGTTTGGATCTTCTGTTTCCATTGTCACTGTTCAGGTGATGATAAAAACTTAAAATAGTCAGTTTTCAGTGAAGCAAAGGATTTGGACAGATTCCCAAAGAGGTTTTTATACAGTGCTCATATTGATTTTTCTAAAGATTTCCCTATAGGTGAACAAACATCAAAATTGTTTATTTAATGCTGAATTCCATTTGCAGGATAATGTCTTCTGAAAAGTATAAAGGTAATGTGAGTTTATTAAGTGGTTGGAGTCTGAAGTTGCTTGTGTTCATACACAGCTTTTGATTTAAAATATCATTGTGTGAGGGTGATTTTAACATTTGGGGAAGTACAGAGTGGGTTAAGCCACCACAGATGTACAAAATCTGTGAGTTTGCAGAAAGGATTAAAGTTACTTCAGGGGTTGAGTCTGTACTTTATGGTGTAATCAGGAGTGGGTCTGAGCTCAGTCTCAAACCTGGATGCCAAGTCAAGCTCTTTGAGTAGAACATCCTCAGTGTGGTACATAATTCGTTGCAGTGGAAGAAAATTTGGAAACAGACATCAATTCTAAATAGTTCCAGTGTGGTGACACTCTGAGCCAAGTCAGTCTTGGTGTGGCCAGCAGATTGTTCAAGTAGCTCTGGCCTGGCTGCTTCCCTTGGCTTGCTGCTGTTCTAACTGCAAGCTGGCTCATCACTTGTTCAGGTTGGGTAGCCAGAAGGATCAAAGTTCCTTTAAAGTTGTAGATGTTAAGAGTTCATGTGACTAGCCAAGGAAATGGCATAGGAAGTTTGATAATCACCAAGAGATAAAGACTTCATTCAGGAATTAATTTCTAATACCAATACCCATTTTCTTCCGTCTTGTCCATAACTGGCTTTTACTCCCTGCCCCTAAATTTTTTGTACTAAAATGATTAACATCTAACTGATGATTTTGTTTTGCAGTACACTCAGAAGAAGCACTGTTTTTACTGGCAACGTGTTACTACCGCTCAGGAAAGGCCTACAAAGCTTACAGGCTCCTAAAGGGACACAGCTGTACCACCCCACAGTGTAAATACCTGCTTGCAAAATGTTGTGTGGACCTCAGCAAGTAAGTAAATCCTTCATGTTCTGTCCAGGGTTACAAAAGGATTTATTCTTTTTGCTTGGATTTCTCTTTGGAAGATGTTGTCTTGTATAAAGTAGAAATTCATTGGTCCTTCAGCACAAAAGGTTATGAGTTCAATTTATTTTGCTTTCAGATATGGATCTAATGAGCATTAACCCATGTTGCAAAAACCTCTAAAAGTTGTTGAGTAACTTAGGCAGGAATTGCCAAGCTGTGTAGAGAGAAAACAGACCTCTTATGAGCTCATTTATACAGCTCTGCCTTGTTTTCTTGTGGGGATAGTCTGTGCTGATAGAGGCATACACCTACAAGTAAAATTTCAAGTGGTGGCAAGAAAAGGTAATTTGTTTGTTCAGGTGTTTGGGCTCAGATGCCTGAAAAATGCCTCCCACCCCAGTAGTTGTATAAAGTAATTTTGAAGCCTGACAGCCAGTGACCCATTCTGAGTGAGTGCTGCTGCTCCTGCAGGTGGAGGAGGTGCAAATTGAGCCTTTGTTCTCCTTTTGAGTCCTTATTGCAAGAAAGAAAGGCATTAAAATCCATGATCTCTGCCATATCCCAACATTGGCTCTTAACTCAGTGCATGGGGGCCTTACAGATTGTATTTCTTTGGGAAACAAAGCCAAATTAAGCACTGGTTTTGCTCAGATAAAGCACCTTCAAAGATAAGTGTCTGAAGAGTCTCTTGTCCTTCATGCTAGGATTGATCACTTTTGGAAAAGTCATGCTGAATTTTGTGCTTCTGCTTTTGGCTTTGTTTTGTTTTTCTTCCCTCCCAGTAGAGCTGTTTGACTGCAGAGTCCTGAACCTCCCTGTTGTAGAGGAATCCATGGGTTATTTAATGTTCATTTGCAGGAACTGGTTTGTGGTTCAAAACCTGTGAACACTGACAGTGGATTTCTGTTTTTGTTTGCAGCAGGGTGAAAACACTGGACTGCCAGTGCTGTGAGCCTTGTAACCCCCTTTAAACCTCTTGTTTTTTAAAAAGGCTTGCAGAAGGAGAGCAGATCTTGTCTGGTGGAGTGTTGAATAAACAGAAAAGCCATGATGACATTGTTATGGAGTTTGGTGATTCTGCATGCTTTACACTCTCCTTACTGGGACATGTCTACTGGTAAAGTTGCTTTTTCATTTTACCCAATAAAGTTGGAAGGTTTTTACTTGACCAAGCCCAGGTTTAGTCAAACATATCCTTAGTCATTACAGGAGACACCTCTCTCTGGGTTACACCATTTTGGAGCATGATAAATTCAGGTGGATAGTTGTGGAATCAGTCTGATTTGGGAATAATTAATTTTAATTTTCACCCAAAACTGAAAACACAAATTCCTCTTTTCTGGATGGAAAAGAATGCAATCCAAAAGTCTGAGACTTTTAGATACCTTTAGATTTGCTCTGTATTCTTCCCTAAGAAAAACTCTCAGCATGTTTCTCAGTGTTACCATTTAGATTTTTACTGTCTGTGTTATATAGTGTAGCTCTCACCCTCAAATCAAAGTTCTGAGGGTGCCAGGCAGAATAACTTGGCAATTGTAAGTGTTTTGATTTTGCTAAGATGCAAGAAGGGTTTCAGTAAATGTGAATGATTGATTGGAGTTGTTGGGCTCTTGGATTCTTCTCTACTATATCTCAATTATTTTCAAAATTATTTATTATCAAATTATTTTCTACTATATCTCAATTATTTTCAAATTTTTTTCTTTGTAGCCAAATACTTAAGTGTTCAGTTTAGCTGCTAATTTCTTTGCAAAAATATTATCCATAGATACTTAAGATGGCTGGAAGGCTGGCAATCAGGTTACTGTTGGCAGAAAAGAAACAAGCTGTTGCAAAGAACTGCATCTTCCTAAAAATGAAAATTCTCAAGCTATTCTAGTGCTTATGTAACTTTTTTTGACAACTGTGTCTAAATATGTCAAGTAACTTCAAAAGAACTCAGTATTTCTTGGGCTTGAAACATGAGGAATGTTTCTGTGCCTCTCAACATGTTTTTGTTTTTCAACTCCTCTTCTGGAAGACTCTCTTGAACAAAAATGCTGTTCTGAAGTTTCCCTGTGAACTGTTTCATTCTTTTTGCAGCAAGACAGACCGGCTTGCCAAAGGATCAGAATGTTACCAAAAGAGCCTTAGTTTAAATCCTTTCCTCTGGTCCCCTTTTGAATCACTCTGTGAAATAGGTGAGTCTGCAGAACTGTTGTACTAATGTAATTCTTGGGAGAGACTTTTGTGAGCAACAATTCATTTAAAATACTTTGCCATTGTTTACAACTTCTGTCTTGCTTTCTTCCATCTTCATTATTTTTACATTTATGGATCTAACAATCCAAATGAGCTTTCCAGCCTACATTTAGTAGACACTTAGAACCTGTTTCTGAGAACAGCTTGAAAAAACAATATATGAAAATTATTAAAAATAATGATTTTCCAGGGTTTTGTAGCAGAAGAACAGAAGAATACTTCTGCTTTAGTACAAAGAGTGGCCTGGTGTAGTGAAGGGTGTCCCTGCTAATTGCAGAGGGCTGCAGTGACATGTTCTTCAAGGTCCCTTCCAACCCAAGCCAAATGTTCTATGATTCTACAAAATGTTTTAAAACACTTCTAAAGTGCTTTGTCCCCTGTCCTTGATTCAGACTGAATATTCAGTGTACAGACCAGGAATAACTATTAAATCTCCTTCCACTCTTACAGGTGAAAAGCCAGACCCTGACCAAACATTTAAATTAACATCCTTACAGAACTTCAGCAGCTGTCTGCCCAACACTTGCACAACAGTGGTGTCTAATCACAACATATCCCACAGACAGCCTGAGAGTGTCCTCATGGAGACACCCCAGGACACAATTGTGAGTTTTGCTCAAATCATTGCAAAATCATTTGCTAAAATCAGTTGTTTATCCAGCTTAACTGAAAAATGTTAATTAAACTATACCCTGTGTACCTAAGAGCTGCTTTTTATTCTTCAGGAGTTGAACAGAATCAACCTAGAGTCCTCCAATTCAAAGTATTCCTCCTTGAATTCAGATTCTTCCATGTCTTACATTGACTCAGCTGTGATTTCCTCAGATTCTGTCCCTCTGGGGTCAGGAACTACCATATTGTCCAAACAGGCTCAAAATAAACCAAAAACTGGACGGAGTTTACTGGGGGGACCTGCAGCTTTGAGCCCACTAACTCCCAGGTAAGTCCTTGGGGTGGCCAGCCTCTGCCCAGGGCTGAGCTGCTGCTGCTGTTTGGGGTTTGGAGCTGCACAGCACACTCAGACACTCGTGGTGGTAGAATTTCTGTACAAGGGAAACCCAAACAACTTCAGGAACTGCTCTTGCTCCTAGTGTTGATCTCTTCTGGTTTTTAAACAAGCAGTTGGTTATTTGGAGAGGAATTGTTATTCAAGGTACTGCTTATTGCCATGTTCTCACTTGAAAAATCTCTGAAGGAATATGCTACTGCTCTGGAATAAACTTTGTTATGAAGAAGGGGTACTGTAAAGAGCTTTTCTTGAAGTCCAACTCCTGATGATCCTGTGGGTCCCTGCCAGCTCAGGATATTCCATGATCTGGGTCTGTGTTTTAACCCCTGCATCAGACCAGCTCTCCAGGTCTAACATTCACACACTGACCCTTCTTCTCTGGTTTGTTCTCAGCTTTGGAATTTTGCCACTAGAAACCCCAAGCCCTGGAGATGGATCCTATTTACAGAACTTCACCAACTCCTCCTCTGTCATCGATGTGCCATCCACCGGAGCACCTTCAAAGAAGGTACCTTGCATTCTGCAGCTCAGCTGCTCTTCTCAGAGCTTGACATTGCAGTGCACTTTAAATCCATAATCCAGAGGAAAAGAATCCATAATACAGAGGAAAAAACATGTGAGCTAAGTTTCCCCCCCAGATGCCCAGGCTGTAGTTGCTGGACTAACCTAGGGAAGATCTCTTGTGTTCTGTCCACCTCCCATCACAGAGGGTTGTACAAACACTGAAGCTTCCCAACAACAGCAGATTCAAACTTTTTAGTTTGCAGGGTGGAGTGTGAAGACTTGGAATTGTTTGTTTTGTTATTTGATGTATTTTCTGAAGCCTCAAGAGAGCTGAAGCTACTGATCTCTTGCAAGTAGTTCTTGAGTTGTAGTTTACAGACCAGAGTAACAAAAATCCTGTGCTGGTCTGTGAAGGACTGAGAGAATGGTGCTGTTTCACTCAGCAAAGTCTTGGGTAGGGGAAACTAAAAAATGCTTGCTTTACTCAGGAAGAAACTGCTGTAGTTGCCATAGTGATAAATGAGAGGTGGAATGTTGGTGACAGTTGAAGAACTATTTGTTCCTTTCTAAAAACAAAAACCTGAGGATTTTTCCCTGTATTTTTAGTAAATCTACAAGTTGCATGAGGGGTGTTGGTATTTTATAGGGGGCACTATTTTGAAATAATGTTGAATCTCTCAAAATTAGAACTATAGTTGCCATGTTTGCTCTGGACAAATCTTGATGCTGTGCCATTCTGAAAGAGAAATTTGGGACCTGTGCTAAAGCAGTCAGTTGGGAATGTGCTTTGTTTGGCTGATCCAATTCCCACCCTGTGCTTGCTCAGGACCATTTGGAAACAGTGGCTTGTGCTGGACTGTGCACATATAGGAAGGTAAATTTCCATGAGTCTGAAAATGGAACTAAAGTTAGTAAGGTGCAGCTCTTCTGAGAGCTGAAGAGCTTTAGGAAATCAAGTTGGATTTGCTGCTGTTTTGTTGCTTTGCTGAGTGTGACACAACAGCACTGAGGTGTAAATTTCACTACTCCACCCATAGGCCCTGCCATGGATGGAGCTGTGCCACTACCAAAACACAAATATTAAATACATTTTAATAAACAACTTAAATTCTGGTTCATGCTTTGTCCAGTGCAAGTAGTGACTGTGCCAGTTCCACTTTGCTCTTCCAGTTCTGTGTCAGATGAGGTTTGGTGGAGCTGTGGCTGAACAGAGGCAGTTTCCTAGGAAACACTTACATAAGTGAGTGAAGCATTAGGATGGATCCAAAGGCTTCCTGTCTGAGTGGGCAATTTCCTGGCCACCTAAACCATCCTCTGGTTACAGAATCTGGGAAAGGAACAGGACAGAGCTTTAGGGGCTGGATAATGCACAAACTGACATTGCTTATGCTGGTGTTGATCCATTTGTCCCTTTCTGGTGTCTCTTCCAAACAGCCATCACTGAACTGAATGCTGGTGTCCCTGGAGTGGGCAGAAAGATAATTCTTTTTAAGCTTTAAAAAAAAAAAAATATGAAGAGGATCTGTTCTGAAAACAGGCTGTGGTGCTATGCAGTTTGTGAATGGCTTCTGAATGGGATTGGAATAGGATAATTAAAAAACATTTTTCTATTTTTTGTGGGGGTTTTTTTACAACTTTTTGCAGGAAAAAGCCTTTAAATATGATGTATTTTAATTCCCTTTTGTTCTTGCACAAGCACTTTAACATACAGTTTCTTGCCATTAGATGGAGATTCCATATCTTCAAATAATGTGCATAAGCTTTGTAGACTTGCTGTTATTAACAGGTAGAAGGAGAAACACTTTAGATGTTTTTCCCTGGGCATGGGGGAGCCCTCTCCTTAATTACAATAATTCTATTTCTCCTCGTGCAGTGTTTGGTGGGTGGAGTGGGTTTGGTTTGGCACAGCAGAGATGGAGACTCCTGAGTGACATAATAACAAACCTGTAGAAACTCTGTGTTGTGCAGACTGTCAGCAGGATCAGCCAGGCTGGAACAAAATCTGTCTTCTCCCAGAGTGGGAATAGCCGGGAAGTCACTCCAGTTCTTGTTGCACAAACACAGAGTTCTGGTCCACAGACAAGGTAAAACAATCCTAGTACTGGAGCAGTTTTGCTTAAAGCAAATCTAAAAGCTGCTATTATTAAAAATGGAGCAAAGAAGCTTACCTTCCAGTGTGTGATTTTGAAATGTTTCTTTTCAGTACGACACCTCAGGTATTGAGCCCAACCATTGCTGCTCCACCCAACGCGCTGCCTCGACGAAGCTCTCGCCTGTTTACCAGTGACAGTTCCACAACCAAGGTACCAAACCCCCCAGTGCTGCAAATCCCTGGCTTTCTCGTCCATGCCACTGGGCCAACTGTGAATTTCTACTGATTCATAGCAGTTTTAGCACCTTCAGAATAGATTCTGCAGCGAGCAGGGCATGGTTGTTGCACGTAATTTTACACTATGCACTCTCAAGTTTAGATTTCTGGATTTAAAAGAATCTTTTATGTGTAACTCTTACTTTTCTTATTTGCAGGAAAATAGCAAAAAATTAAAAATGAAGTTTCCACCTAAGATTCCAAACAGAAAAACAAAAAGTAAAACAAATAAGGGAGGAATAACTCAACCAAACTTAAATGACAGTTTGGAAATTACCAAACTGGACTCTTCCATCATTTCAGAAGGGAAAATTTCCACTGTTGCACCACAAATCCAAGCTTTCACGCTACAGAAGGCAGCAGCAGGTCTGTAGTACAGTAAAATCTGATATATCTACATTTAAATGTTGCTTCAGTATTTGCTTCTTTCCCATTTCATTTAGCATGCAGCTCTCACCTTTGTATAGTGATAAAAACTGATTTAATTCAACGTGTTCTTAACTTAGAAACGTGTGAAGAAATATTGAGAGTGGTAATTGTCAGCAGATAAATCTTGCAAGCTCTGGTCCTTATTAATAATTAAAGTATTTTTAAAGCATATAAAGTATTATAAATTGTTATGCAATGTATAAGTTTTGATAATAGTATAAGTAATATTATTACGATTCTAAGTGTTACATTGTTACAAAGTATAACTTCAAAATTTTAAAGTATATAATTTATGACAGTGTTGTCCTTGGAAACTGATTCAAAGGAGTTACTCATAACCCAGTCATCTCTTAACATGGGCTTTATGTGGTCTGTTCTCCCTTGATGTTTCCCATTTGTTTAAAAACAAGTCTTTATTCAAATTGTCAGAAAATCCTAAGAAAAATGCTGAATTCCCCTCTTTTGGCTCAGTAATGTTTCCAGGCAGCAAGAGGATGTATCCATGGCTACCAGGCTTGTGGAAACTGCTCAGACCTAAAGAAATGTTTGAATAGCTGCTGGAAGTACAGAGCTCCACTCACCCTGAGCCCCAGAGTTTAAGGACTCATTATTTTCTAGCTTCCCTTACAGAGGCTGATATTCAGAATATCATGCTCATGTTAATTAATTGCATGATGTTAAGAGTATATAAACTTATTTGGAAACTCCTGAAAGGTTTTCATAGGCAAATTCAGGAGCAGTGCACAAGGGAGAGATTTTGGGATTAGCACTTCCAAGTAAATAAGTCTCAGCTGTCTTTTTCTTTTATTTTTTCCCCCACTTTTATTTATTGTGTTTTTCTCCTAGAAGGTTTGATGAGCCTTCTCCGGGACATGGGGAAAGGTTATTTAGCCTTGTGCTCATACAACTGCAAAGAAGCCATCAATATCTTGAGCCATTTGCCATCCCACCACTACAACACAGGCTGGGTGCTGTGCCAAATTGGGAGAGCTTACTTTGAGCTGGCAGAATACATGCAGGTAGGAATGGGGGCCAGGCTTTCCTCTTCTCACTTTGCTTTGGCACTTTTACACAAAAGCTGCAGATCTCCTGTAAAATCCATGAGAATTTTGCAGTTGTGGTAAATGGATAAATATAAAAGTTACACCTGGAATGGATTTAGGTCTTGAATCTGCTTCATTAGAGCTTTCTCATTTGAGCTTTCCTAAAATTTTTTCTTAATGTTACTTCCTCTTGTATCCAAGTGTTGGGGTCTCCTCCTTGTTTGTCCTGTCTCTATCTCCCACTGTGCTGATGGAATTGTTTGCACTGCACTGTTTTAGAATAGATCACTCAACAATTTGAGCTCTAAACCAAAAAAACTTCTCTCCATTCTATTTAATTCTGATCGCATCAGTGACCCAGTTTCCCTTCCAGCCTCATAAATGAAGCAGTGGCACAGCTGAGGTGATGCCAAACTGCTCCAGAATCAGAAGTGAGCAGTTAAGGGTAGTCCCACAGTTCACCTCTCCTTGGCACTGTTGTCCTGACAGCTGATGTGCCTGTTTGATAAGTTCTTAAATCACTCCTTGGCAGAATGTGTGCAGGAGACAAAGGAGAGGGAGCTTTTGAGCTGTGCACAGTCTGTTTCCAGATGGAACATGCTGGGTGCTTTCATAGATTATTTAGAAAGGTGAGGCTACAGATTTTAATCACAGAATTCCAGGGTGGTTTGGGTTGAAGGAGACTTCAAAGCTCATCCATTCCCACCCCTGCCATGGCAGGGACACCTCCCACTGTCCAAGGCTGCTTCAAACCCTGTCCAGCCTGGCCTTGGGCACTGCCAGGGATCCAGGGACAGCCACAGCTGCTCTGGGCACCTGTGCCAGGGCCTGCCCACCCTGCCAGGGCAGAATTCCTTCCCAGTATCCCATCTCACTCTGCCCTCTGGCAGTGTAAAACCATCACCCCTTACCCTGTCACTCTTTATTGGGATGGTTAACAATCATAACTGACCCATAAAAGTCTGTTGCACTCTTTCTGATTTTGTGGGTGATGTTTTTGCCTCACTCAAGCATGGATGGAAACAGGAATGCAGCTGAGTCAGCAGGAGGGAGAGCTGGCTGCATTCCTGCTGGCATGAATATCCTGGGATACAGTCACTTCCTTCCCTTGAAAGGAAAGTTCAGGGCTTGCAGCTCTGTGTAGAACACTTAAAAAGCAAAGAGGATGCTCAGGCTGGATGTGAGGCCTTGGACCTTGACCTCTGTGCTCTGCCTTGGTGGGTGGAATTTTATTTTAAGTTTCATTTCTGTTCTCAGGCTGAAAGAATATTTTCAGAAGTGAGGAGGATTGAAAACTACAGAGTAGAAGGCATGGAAATCTATTCAACCACACTCTGGCATCTGCAGAAAGATGTTGCCCTTTCAGTTCTTTCTAAGGATTTGACAGACATGGATAAAAACTCACCAGAGGTATAAAATGCTGTGGGCTTGAATGAGAAGAGGGGAATTGTACATAGTAAAATCAGTGATTCAGAACAGAGCTTTGAGCTCTAATCCAGTGTACTCTCCAGTGGGAATCCACCTGAACATGGCAAAACTGGAGAGGGAGCTGGCAGGGTTGTCTCTTGAACTGCTGATGCCTGAAATGGCTCCTTAAAATTTATCAGCTTATGTGGAACCTTTTATCTGTTAATGGTTATTTAAATTTGCCTTGGCACCATTCAACCAGGAAGATCATGGGTTAGTCAGTCACTCTTGCTGCTGCCAGTGTGCAGAGATAAGGAATGTCTTTTTCCTGTACCTTTTAATTGCTGTAGCTAATTCACTGGCACTTACAGTATTTGTTCTAGAATTTATTTGCAGACTTGATGTTGCGCATTCTTATACCAAAGTCCATTAAACTGCAGGGTGTGTGGTAATGTAGTCACAATGTGCCAAAACCCAGAAATCTTTCAATGAGTGCCACAGTAAAAAATAAAACATGTGAGTTGATAAATGTGCTCTTAAGAATTGAGCAAACTGTAGAGGATATTGGAAATCTTTGTGGTGGAGGAGGAAATCCAATTCATGTTGTCCTGTTAGTTCATCTAAGAGTGGAAAACAAACTCAGTGAACAGTTGGTGGTTGTAGTAAGATTAGTCAGGATAGAGGGAAATGCAGATTCTAATCCAAGGAGTGGAAAATAGTTATGTGCTTTGCCTTTGATGCTAAAAATTTGGGCAAGTGGGGGACCCTGGGCTGTGGTATTTACAGCCTTGATGGGTGCTGAGCAGCAGGGAAAGAGGAGGTTGATGCTAAAATTCTTCCTCTGCAGATTTCCAGATTTGTCAGTTGGAGGGAGCTGAAGAAATAAAGTACCATCTCCCCCTTCGTTACTCTGAAATATCAAAGATGTTTTATTTCTGGCCTTCTCAACCTTTAAAAGCTTTAGTCATTAGTCATCAAAGGATCTAATTGGTGCAGACTTATTGGGTGTCCATGGATTCTCCATTTCTGTAATTCAGCTTGTTTATTTATTCATTTATTTATTTTAGAATGTGTATTTAGCCCTGCTTGCCTCACAGGAATAAGCCTGAACTAACTGTTGATTTATTCCTATTTTTACTTTTTAATCTAGGAGTAAGTTATTTATAATTATTCAAAGCAGCATAGATAAATGTGTTCATCTCAAACTTAGTCACCCAGAGTAGTAAAAAGGGTTCTGCTCCTGCCCTGCTGTTGTTCCAGGCCTGGTGTGCAGCAGGAAACTGCTTCAGCTTGCAAAGGGAGCACGACATTGCCATCAAGTTCTTCCAGAGGGCCATCCAGGTGGATCCAAACTATGCCTATGCCTACACCCTGCTGGGCCACGAGTTTGTGTTGACAGAAGAGCTGGACAAGGCCCTGGCCTGCTTCAGAAATGCCATCAGGGTCAACCCCCGGCACTACAACGCCTGGTAGGTCTGCCTGTATCCCCTGCTGCTCCAGAATTCCTTCTGGAGGAACATCTCCTGGGTGCTGCCACTGCTGTAATTTCATGGAATCTGGTTTGGGTTGGAAGGGACCTCACAGCCTGTCCAGTCCTACCCATGCCATGGGCAGGGACACCTTCCACCACCCCAGGCTGCTCCATCCAGCCCCATCCAGCCTGGCCAGGGACACTCCCAGGGATGGGACAGCCACCATCTACCTACCACTCTTCCCTCCTGGAAGAGAGCAAAGCCATTCCTGCAGAAGATGGGGGGCTACTTTCACAAGGAAGGCAAAAATTGACTTTTTTTTTTGGTTTTCACAGATTGTTTAGGCTGTATTACCCCAGCTATTTTGTCCTCTTGGGCAGCATTCTTTGTGCATTGTGTGTGCTCAGTTGCAGTTGGAGAGATGAGATCTCAGCCTCTTCATACCTTAAGACACACTTAGTTTCTTACAGCTTTTTAATATATAAAGCAGTACAAGTTAGATCTGTGAGTGTGATAGTGTTAATAACTTTTGTGTCCTTGTATTTAGCAGTTCCTTAGCCAGTCTTGCTGTGTATCACACATCCCCACACATCAGCCAACCAATGGATAATGAAAAGAAAGAAAATTTTAGACAGCTTTTTCCCCCAGGAAATCCCTTCCTACCCTAGATGGGTTTGGCAAGGCTATGAACCATTCCTGCCATGTCACATTCACTGACAGAAACTAATTTGGTTAAAATCCAGTGCTACTTACCAGAATTGTTTCTCTGCTGCAGGTACGGGTTGGGAATGATTTATTACAAACAGGAGAAATTCAGTCTGGCAGAAATGCATTTCCAGAAAGCACTTGATATCAATCCTCAGAGCTCAGTCCTGCTGTGTCACATTGGAGTAGTAAGTACATGGCACTTAACCTGGGTGGGGAGAAGGGTTGGGGTGGAGAGGTAAGGAGGATTTTTCTTCCTGTACAAAAAAAATCAGACTTGGTCTAGAACTGGGCAAGGCAGGTTGTAAGTAAACATGGTCAGAAGGGTTTGTCCTTGCCCAGCAGATGAGCTGTTATTTTTCCCCTTTTGGAATTGTTCTCTCTTTGTGTGCCAGGTTCAACATGCACTGAAAAAATCTGAGAAGGCTTTGGACACTTTGAACAAAGCAATCAACATCGACCCCAAGAACCCACTATGCAAATTCCATAGAGCCTCGGTGTTGTTTGCAAATGAGAAGTACAAGGTCAGTCTGGCAGCCTTGAAATTCCTCCAGCTGGGAATGGGGGAGCCTTGGGAGCTGAATGTTTGCAGGTCACCCTGGGGAGCACCAGGGCTTGCAGGAAGAGCCTGGGACATGGGCTCACCTCACCAGGGTGGCATTCAATGTTTTGATTGTAATAAAATCTGGGGCCATCAGGTGTTGCCTTTTAAATTATTATTTTAGTTTGACTCACTATCATGAATTTATACTAAATAATTAAAAAAAACTCAGCCAACTGCCCCATATCAAATTACAGCAATAAGAACCAGCTGTTTCCAAGGTTGTGTTATAGAGTGAAAAGTTAGAAGTGAAGCAGTTTTGGGCTGATCCCCTGCTGACCTGAACCCTATTTAGAATAGATCTTCCCACAGTGTTTATCCAGCAGCTTTTCCTCTGGCCAGTGTTTTTTTCTTGCTCCAGAAGACAAGCCAAGTCTGTTTTGAAACTTGCCTCAGAAACATGTGTGCACACTGAAAGGGAAAACTTTACTTAAAACTTTTTTTATTTCTAAATGCAGACTAAATATTTTTTCAGTTGAATTTCTTAATGGTACCAGGTGACTGTCACAGCAAACAGCTCCAGCATCAAGAACCAGTTTAAAAGTAAAGTATAAGTGTCACTAAAAGTGTTTGGTTTCAAATGCCTAATATAATCACTCTTTCCAACCTTTCAGTCGGCTTTACAAGAACTTGAAGAACTGAAACAGATTGTTCCCAAAGAGTCTCTTGTTTACTTTTTAATAGGAAAGGTAGGTAAAACTTCACTGTGATCCTAAGTTCTTTGCTTTCCTTTGCTGCTTAATGAGAAAATTTGATGCCTGTCACTAAGATGCTTCCACTTGAAGCAATATTGTAAAAATTCTCAAAAAAGATTCTTAAATAAGGCTTAGTGCTCACAGCAGTATCATGTGCCAGCTTTTAAATGCAGAGGACAGTTAAAGAGAGCTGGAGATGACAGTCCATCCCTCAGTGAGCACAGCTGGTTATTTGCACATGGAACTATTACAATATTGAATCATTCTCATGCATTGTGTCAGAAATACTGAATAAGAAGCAGCTACATTCCAACCTTTCTTGTGTGAAATGCCAGAGAAGTGATCTAGTGACAGAAATCCTCCTTCCCACCACCACCTCTGCTGATAAGCTTTAAATAACTTCTGTAACTTTCTGCTGGGGAGTGTCTGGTCACTTGGAAGCATGAAGACAAACTTCCCTCTAACACAGAGCTGGAGAACTCTCTATCAGCAAGATTTCTTTATTTTGTTTGAACTGGAGAGAGGTAAAAGGATTTGTGCTGAAATGTGTTCACTGGTATTTGTCCAGGAGTAGCTGGGCCTCTTTTCTGCCATGAGTGGCCATGTCTAGACAAACTGAAGTATTTTCACTGTTTAAATGCTCAACACAGATAAATAACTTCCTCATCTGTCCTCAATGATAAAGAATCTCTTAGCTGCTAGTTTATTTATTTTTATTTTTAAATAGAAACACTTGCTCTTTCTACACATATTTATTTCCCTTGGGGCTCACATAATAAGTTTTTCATACCCTCTGTTGCTTTCCATAAAACATCACTGAACTGTGGAACATTCAATGCCCAAACCTTCAAGTAGTAGCTTCATGTAAATATAGCCTTTTCTGCCCTTTTTTTCTTTTGTGTTCAGGTTTATAAAAAGCTGGGTCAGACACATCTGGCCCTAATGAATTTCTCCTGGGCAATGGACCTGGATCCCAAAGGAGCCAACAACCAGATCAAGGAGGCCATAGACAAGCGATACCTGCCCGACGACGAGGAGCCCATCACCCGCGAGGAGCAGATCAGTGAATGCTACCCCTACGAGTCAGGTCTGTGCTCCAGCCAGGAGCTTCTGCCCCTGAGCCCTGGCAGAGGGCCAGGGTTAAGAGGTGAAACATTTCTGCCCAGTGAGTTGCAGCTCTGGAGGTTCTTCACTCAGAATTCATTCGTTGTCCCTACAGAAAGCGTGGCGTGAAGGGCTGTGAAATTCCTTTAGATGTAGCAGGACAGAGATTGTGGTAACTCTAAATTTATACAAATCATGGGTGGCTTTAAGAGTATCCCAGGAGAGCAAGACATTCCCAGGGCTGCAAGTATTTCATCATAAAGCATCAAATAATTTCAGAGTAAATGAATGGCAGCTGAAGTTGTCTGTAGATGCTTTTTCAGAAGTTAAACTGGATCAAAATACTTGGTGTGCTGAATACAAAAGGTGGCTTTTGATGAAGGTCATGGAAGCAGTTTGATTTGGATCAAGAGAAAATAAAACACTATGGGGAGCAATTTACAGAAAGGAGCAGCCCAGGTTTTTCTTCTCTCAGCTTTTGATTATGAACTTAAATTCCATAAAGCATGGTCAGTCATAAATACCTATCTGCAGGCTGAAATGGAGATAGAAAATAAATGCTAATAAGCAATGCTATTAATTCTCTTCCCACAAAGAAGGAACTAGAGCAGGATTTGGATTCTTGCTTATAGAAAAATGGCTGTGTCCTGCAATTCCAGATTCTCAACTGAAAAACAGGGAAAGGTGACAACTGTATATCATGTTGGTTTTTATTGGTCCTGTGTGCTTTTTAATGTGGGAATTTTTCCAGAAGTGCAGTGCAGGGTAGTATCCAGTTTTTTCTCTCCCTGCTGTTGTAACTGGGGTGATTTTGAGCCCCAGCTCCCTGGGCTGAGCCTGTTCTGACCAGGAGATGGAGACAGAGACTGGAACTGCTGAGCCACACCTGAGCAGTGCAGGGAAAAAACCCAAACACCAACCAAACAAGAAAAAAAAATAATGTAAAAAGGAAAAAACTCCAACAGCTTAATCTGTCCAATAAGCATAAACAAAATAAGTGTTGGGCTGTGTCACTGTTCAGCTTCCCTGGCTGTGCAGAGAAAGTGTGGAAAAGTTCCACAGCCTCAGCTGAATGGGACAAATTAAAGTCATTTAAGGTAATTTGGGGGGGAAGCAGAATTTTTCTGTCAATGCTTTGGCTGGGCTGGTGGCAGGGGGGCTCTGCAGTGGGACAGCCCCTGACCCCAAGGTCTCTTTGTCCCCACAGTGGGCACAGACGAGTCCCAGGAGAGCAGCATGACGGACGCGGACGACACGCAGCTCCACGCCGTGGAAAGTGATGAATTTTAACCTCCAAGAGCCAGTGTCTGAGCTTGAGTGTGTGTGACTGGTACTGTCGTGTTCTCCCCTTCCTTGGCATCCTGGGTTCTACATCTCTGAGCCAGCACTGTCGTTGTTCTCCACTGACACCACGAGTGCACCTCAGACCTGAACTTAGCAGAGTTCGTGGCAGTGCAATATCCAGCTGCTGCTGAGTCTGACTAGTTGGCTCTTACACATTTATGGCAGTGACTGAGGAGAAAATGCTGGTTTTGAACTCCCCCTTGCTGGAAAAAAAATATCATGGAAGACAGACTTGTGGTTTGCTGTAAGGAAGCCAGTAGATGTGGGGATAGTACTAATGACGAGGTGTCTTGTTCTTTTTCCAGAAATGTGTCTTAGTTTGGGTCTTTCTTGGTAAGCAGAGTGCTGAACCTCATTTCCAAGTTCTCCAAGGACAGTGTTGACAAACAGGCTGTTCAAGACTTTTGCATATTGTAGTGTAACTTAAATGCCAGGGAGTGTCAATGACCTTAAAGCTGCAGTGTCTCCAGTGAGCAACCAGGACTGGGCGTGTGTCAGGCCACGTGAAACAGCCCTGTCCCTGCCCAGGGTGCAACTGCAGGAGAATCACATTGCAGGATCAGAGCTTTCATCAAATGCTTTCATGTTCTAACCATGAGTTAATTTATTCACCCGGTTTTGGAAAGGTCAGTGTTTACTTTGTATTTCTGTCAGCACCACCTTGCTTCATTTTTCATGCACCCCTTGACTTGTTCTTCCCCTTTAAAGAATAAAAATTAATAAAGGGAAAAATCAAGAGAGAAATGTAGATACCAGTGTAATGTGAAACATCAAACCCTTAATCCTGTGAGAGTGGGAAGACTGGAAGCCTTAATACAATCAGAACCTTGGTCAAATGCATCAAATAATTGTCTCAGATCAGTATCTCCTTAGGTCTGCTATCACTTTGAAAACTATTTTGTAAAGTGTGGTCCAAGCAGGATGCAAAAATGTGCAATTATTTGTCTTTTTCCTTATTTTTATAAGTTGTTCTTTCAGTTTTCCATTCTAGGAACACTTTCCTTTCCTCCAGGGTCTGTTTCTGAGAGGAGAAAGCTGTGCCACATTAGTGAGTCCAAACTGCTCTCTGTAGCATTCTGCAGCAGCAATTGGTGCCCTTTGTGCAGTGATGATAAAGAAAGTGTATGATACAAGCAGTTTTAAAGAGCAATTTATGCCTAATAAATTGGGAATGATACAAATTTCATAGCTATTTGTTGTGATCAGTCTTAATGGTTTTTTTTTCCTTTTTTTTTAAATATATTGGTTTTTAGGTGTCTCTTAGTTTCCTTTACACTTCAATTTCTTTTGAATTCTGTCCTTGTCCACGTGACACCTCTTCTGTCCCAGCTTCTCCCTGGTCCAGAGCCATATGGACACCTTTATCCTTTGAAAAATCATCCCCAAGTTCTGAGCAAAAATAGAATTCTGTGTCGCGGTGGGTTTTTTGGTTTGTTTTTTTTTTTTGAAGCAGGAGGATGGGCAGTGAAAAACAGGCTTCAGTTCCCCCCACAGGGTGAAAAAACCCTCTAAAACCTGAGGAATGACAAGAGGTTAAACGAGCTCTGTGCCTTGCCCTGCACTTTGGTCAGCTGGGTCTGGGAGGCTGCTGGACTGACTGATGATGGCTCTGGGCTGGAGTGGGGCTCTCACAGGATCCCTGGGGTCATTCCCCTTCCTGGAGAGCCTTCCCTGGGGAAGCCTCAGGGCTCAGGTGTCCCAGGAGCTGCTCTGCACCCAGGCCAGAGCTCCCAGCCCTGCTCCTGAGTCCCTGTCTCTCCTGCTGTGCTTTTCCAGCTCGTGGCAGCTTCCCAACTCATCCCTCACCAGAGGAGTCTGAGCAGCACTCCTGCTAAGGTCTGCAGGCAGCACTTGTGGAATGCCACTAATTACCATGTTAATTGGCTTCCTTTTGGTTCCCAGCATATTTTCTAAACAAAATAGCAGGAGGAAGCAGGTGCTATTTACTTTTCCATAACAAATGTTGTTCCGTGTGGGGACCAGAGATCCAGGAATTGTGGGGCCTTTTTTTCCTTTTTATTTGTTCCCTGAAAACTGCAGTGAAACTTTTAACCCCTTGGAAAAAGCTCTTAATTGAGCTGGGATGTTCAAAGGATGTTTGTGCTATTTGGAAGATTTAATACATAAAAACATTCCTGGCTTTGTATGTTCATCCTACCTTAAAGGTTGTTTTGGTTTGGTTTTTTTTTTCCCCAAGGATCCAGGGTCACATTTAGGCCTTGCTGCTATTTTACATTCTAAGGAAAAAACACAAAAATAGTATTGAAGGATTAAAATTTGGCTCTTTGAGGAGGGACAGAGAGGAAGAGGCTGAGCATAGAGGTACTGGCCTGCAGGTGAGCAAGTGTTCACTGAAGAGAATTAGGGAACTGTCATTTTCTTACAACAAATCTGTGGAAGAATGCAAAGTGTGGGTGTGGTGTTACTATTTGCATTGAAACAATGTAACTTGTCCTTTTTTTCTTGATTTTTTTTTTTTTTTTTGCTTTACTTGATTTTTTTTTAATTTCAAAAATTGTACAGTCCTAGGGGGGAAAAAAAAGTCTTTTCTGTTAATATATTTGCAATTCATGAAAGGATGTGGAAAATCCAAATAAATTACTTTTAAAAGCAGGCTTAGCCCCAGGTGCTTTGGGTCAGGGGTGGGATTTGCCCTTCAGGAGTTGGGAAAGCTTTAAGGGCACCTTGGGGTGCACAGGGCTCTTTTGTGTCCTGTGTCACCTGTAAATCTCCCACAGCCTTCCAAGTGGGCTGCGAGGTCCTGGCTGGAATTGGGGTGAGGTGGGAGGTGTGACATGGGTGTGACATGGGTGTGAGGAGCTGGAGCCCCAGGCAGAGCTGGGGGGGCTCACCTGCAGGGGAGAAGCTCCAGGGAGAGCTCAGAGCCCTTGGAAGGCCTAAAGGGGCTCCAGGAGAGCTGAAGAGAGACTTGGGGACAAGGGATGGAGGGACAGGACACAGGGAGTGGCACTGCCAGAGGGCAGGGATGGATGGGATGCTGGGGAGAATTCCTTCCTGGTGAGCCCTGGCACAGGCTGCCCACAGAAGCTGTTGCTGCTCATCCTCACTTTCCATCCTGTGGTGACAGGAGATTCCAGAAGCTCTCAGGTATGGAGCAGGTTAGTTTTATTTTCTTTTTTTTTTTTTCTGCCTTCAATAGCAGGTCCCTGCCCTGTGGCTGCAGCTGTTGTTGCTTAGCAGAGAAATTAATTATCACAGTCTTTTACACTTCCAGACCTGGAGGAAAAGCTTCCCAGGAAGGCTCGTGGCTGTGCAGAAATTCCTCCTGCTGCATGTAGGCATCGTGGATTGAACCTTTCACCACTCTTCTTTGCCCAACCCAATCCAGTAATTTCAGAGAGCTGAGTTTGGCTGTACAAGCAGCACTGAGATGAACCCACTCCTAGCTGCTTCCCCCTCTTTCCCCCGTGCTCCTGCTGCTCCTGGACATTGTTCCTGTGTCTGGGGGTGGCTGAGTGCAGGGAGGGCTGGGCTGTTCTGTGCCCCCCTGCAGCCTCCCCGTGTGGGCTGGGGGATGCCCAGTGCTGCACCCGGGCTTTGCTCAGCCAGGCTGAGCTTTAGAGCCTCCAGAGAAAAGCAAAGCAGCGATGAAATTGGATTTGTCCATGGTTCCAAGCTGAATTACAGCTGTGTGGTGAGCACCAGGAGCTGTTTAGGAGCACCTGCATCTTACTGAGGTTTGCACTTGTTCTGTTGTGCACCACTGACTGTGGTGCTGCAACATCTTATTTTCTGTCCCTCTGTCCAAGTCTGTGACTTTGTTTGAGAGCTGACCCATGAGCATGAGCTGCTTTTATTTTTAATGGAGCAGAACTGGGTTTTTCTACAGCAGGGATCCCAGTGCTTTTAAACTTTTGTCACCTCAGAATAAGGTCACACTCTGGATTTTCCTGGCTAACCAGGAAAAACAACCTGGCTGTTTCATGTTCCCTGGGGAAGGAGAGCAAGGACTGTGTCTGTGTGGGGACAGTGACTGCAGCTGCTCTGTGTGGGATCAGCATGGCCAAGTGTGCTTGGAGCATCTCAAACTTCCCTCCAGTCCTGGAAGGAGCTTGGAAAAAAAGAGGGAGAGTAACTTTTTACACAGGCAGATAGAACAAGAGGGGGAACCACTTTAACCTGGGAGAGAATTAGATTAGATGCTAGGAGGAAATTCTTTGGCAAGGCCCTGGCACAGGTGCCCAGAGCAGCTGTGGCTGCCCCTGGATCCCTGGCAGTGCCAAGGCCAGGCTGGGCAGGGCTGGGAGCAGCTGGGACAGGGGAAGTGTCCCTGCCATGGCAGGGTGGCACCGGGTACAGGCCCAGGGCCACGCAGGGGACACGGGCCCTGTGTCACCTGTGGGACACGGGCCTGGTGCCGGGGGGGGGCGCGGGGCAGGGGCCGAGCGGCGGCACGGCATCAATCACCGCCCGCCCCGCCCCCCCGCGCTGATTGACGCGGCCGCAGCCAATGGGGCGCGCCCATGCCCCGCGCGCAGCCAATGGGCGCGGGGGAGGGCGGAAGGTCCCCGCTTGAAGGCGGCGGAGCGGCGCAGGTAGGAGCGGGCGGGGGGCGCGGAGCGGGCGGGGGGC